AAAAAAAAAAATAAAAATAAAAAGAAGAAAAAGAAGGAATTGTTGTTGTTACACAAAACAATGGAAACAGAGAAGAAGACGAAGAAGGACACTTTTGATACAACTACATCTACTATAACCAATCACTACTAGTACTACAACTACTAGTACTACTACAACTACAACAACAACGACAGTCACTACCTCAATGACGCGCAGTGTACCGCAAACGAAGTAAAATTTTGTTGTTATGCCTTTCTTCTCATTCTCTGTCTACTCTATCTTTCCATCTACTATTCAATTATCGAAAATACGCTATACAGTGATCAAATATGTATCAAAAGATATAATTGTACTACTACATGTGCCAGATATTTTATTGTTGAATTATACACACAAATATTATACAAGACTTGATCTGTAGTCTGTCTAAAACTGTGCTGCATGTGCATGAGTGTCTCACTATTGCCGAAAGGGGGGGGGGAGTAGGACCAAACACGTTACTCTTTGTAATGAATCCAAAAGAAAGAGAAAAAAAAAAAAAACTTGTAAAGAAGAAGTGTTGCTGTAGATGAAGCTCAAGTGGTTGAAGAAAGAGAAGAGCTATATGGAGCAAGTAACTACTCTTGGTAAAAGGGTGAATTGTACACTACAAGCTTTGTTTTTTTTTTTGAAACCCTCTAGTTACACCTACCGAATTTGATCTTTTGCAACACACTTTGGTCACTCTTGTGGGCCACCAAAAGGATAGTGAATCAAGTTGACACCAACACCAGCACCATCATACTGCTCATTACATTTGGAAAAGCCCACAACAGGCATTTGCATTGCACTTTGCCTTGCACTTTGCCCTGCACTTTGCCATTCTATGCATTTGGCAACTTTCCGCTTTTCCAGACAGTTGTAGAGAGCTGCAAATTGAGCATGAAACTACCGTGCTGCTCTCATTCTTTCCACTCTTCTACTAGCTCTTTCAAACATTCCAGGTTCGATCCAAGTACTTTGTTGTTTAGCGTACAACGAAACAATGACACGCTCTTTTAAAGAACTTGGATAGTAGAAGTATTTGCTTTAAGCATGGCACCGTGTGAACATAATACATTCAGTAAAGTTGTGTTTGATGCTATATGCCCAAGTGGACTTTCAATCCCCAATAACCGTACTCTCCTTGTACCTTATAAGTCTTGTTGTGTAAATGTAAAATTAGACTGTGTTGTTTTGTTCGGCATTCTAAATCTCGATCCGAACTAATGTCTGCATCTATCCGATATTCAATACAAATATCCTTTTTGCAGACAATTTTCAGATATTGATGCCGTGTACATATCTAAGCCAGCTTGCTAATTGATGTTGTAGATAACAATAGCGTATCCGAGGTAGTCGCCTGCGGACACTGTGGTGGCTTTACTATTAATATTCTACTAAAAAAAGTTATCTAATCTCGGGATTCCACAAAGCAAGAATGAGAGCGAAAGAAAACAAGAAGAAGAAAGAAATCAAAAAACCGTACAAATTATTACACAGTTTCCCAACTAGATCATATATATATATATATATAATAGTCCCACTTTTCTCACATCAAAACTTTTCAAGTACATTCACCAGCTGCTGATCCTAGCAACAACTATCCACTTGCTTCTTCTTCTTTCTTTCTACCTTACACCGATGACGATTTTGAACAAGTTTTTTGGCAAATCAAACAACAAACAAACACCTGAAGATGAGATCCAACAACTCGGATTTGAAATAAGCAACTGCTCACAAACATGCGACGACTGCACTGCCAAATTCCCCAAATCGTTAACATTTGAAGAGTCAGAACCACTATGGCACTCCACGAAACCGTTTGGGTTGCATTTGAACGTATCTACAGGAAGGATCGATTGGCCTCATGATGCTACGGGGACTCCAAACACCTTGTCTCATGCAGTCGCGTCATGGGCGTCCAAGCATAGTAAAAGCAATGATGCATCACCGTCGTCGTCATCGTCGTCGTTAGGTACTATTAAAGTTACGTGTTCTTCATTTGCTGGTGAGGAGATGTTTTCCAATGATGACTATATAAATGAACAAATGGGTGATGTATTGGTATTGCCGTATTTCCTATGGATCAAGGGCTTGAAAATCTCCGATGTGGATAAAGTAATGACCAAATTGGTGCACATCCTCTCAACCACTGATCATGAAAATTTACAAGTGAGTGACATCCAACAACAAATACCACAAATCATACCCGATACGAATAAAGCCTATATCCTCTTGTGCTCGCATCGTACTAGAGACAAGAGATGTGGAGTAACTGCACCAATAATGAAGAAGGAAATGGAATTGTATTTGCGAGAATTGGATTTGTATCGAGATATGTGTGATTCATCTCCCGGCGGAGTCCAAGTTGGATTTATAAATCATGTTGGTGGACATAAATATGCTGCCAATGTCATTATATACTTGAAACTGTCGGGGAAAAACATTTGGTTGGCCTTGTGCAAGCCCAATAATGTGAGGCCGATTATAGATGAGTGTATATTGCATGGTGGTAAAGTTTGGCCGGAAAAGGTGCGATTGGTTCAGAAATTCGATCCAATAGAGTGGTAGATTAGAGTACTATTTGTATAGAAGGTTGCGTATTTAATAGAGAGATATACATAGATAATATGATTTCTACGTCAACTACAGTACCTATCGTCTAAAAAATTTACATCGTTTGTAGTCACTCTATAATCGCAACAGATTCAACACATTCAATCTTTGTTTCAATGAGTCGACAGTAACACCATTCAACTTATCAATGTCCTTGTCCAATATCAACTTGATTCTATTATACTCCACATTGAGTGCATTGGCATCTGTCAATAAACTCTCCACCACCAGTTTATAGAATCCAACAGTGTCACCACAAAGTGTATCCAATTCACTCAACACTTGCTCGAACTCGCCAACATTAGCTTTGGCAATTGACTCACTGATATGCCGAATCACCCCTGCTCCCTCCTTCAACTCCCCAGTTCTATCACGTAATGTCCCGGCAAAGTCATTAATCAAGTCAATGACTTTGTCAAGTCGTCTTAAATCGCCCTCATACACAATGGCATTGTCTAAATTACCCTCCTTGACAAGCATCAATGCTGGTAGTCTCTTCACCCCGTACTTGTCTATTATCTCTTGTCCGTTCCCTTGTTCGTCGACTGTGAATGTGGCAAAAAGGATGTTTTTGTTTCTAGCGTAGATGGTGTTTGCAATTTGATCGAATACACCAGCAAACTCTTTACAATATGAGCACCAGCTGCCCTCGATTGCCACTATAGCATATTGCGTATTTTGAAGTTGTTGTTCAAACAGTTGTGGAGTCAAGGACACAATCACATCTTGTTCTTCTTGTTGCTGTTGTTGCCCATTTCCTTGTTTATGTAGATTGCTTTCCTCATATTCATCCTGTTTCGATTTATCCAATCTCACTCCACTCAACTGCTGTATAAAATTGCTAAAAGCTTCAACATCCCTAACACCTTCAAATTCCACGTGTTGTCCCAGATCATCAAACATCAATAATGTTGGGTATCCAATAGTAACGTATTTCTTGCTCATTTTCTTACCATCTTTATCCCCATTTATCTTGACCACTTGTATTTGAGGATAGTCAGCAAACAAGTTTAGTAATTGGTCAACTACCGGAGACAATTTCTTGCAATGACGACACCAGTCGGCGTAGAAATCGACAAATGTGAATTTACCGGGCGTGGTGACAATTTGCTGGAAGTTCTTGTCGTTCGCTTGTATCACGTTGGAGGGTGAGTAGCAAGCCACTAGCGATGATAGTGTGAGTGTGATTAGCCAGAATATGTTCCTCATTGGTGCAGCGTTGGTTGTACGGTACACTTAGTAAGCAATCAGTTATTTCGCTGTTTGACACATTTTTCATACAACTCGCGACACAACATTGTTACTTCAAACATACTGATCTGGGTACAAACCAGCACAATGGTTTGTTGCTACACTCACATAGTGGTGTAATTTTTTTCTTTTGCAAGCTATTCCATTGCAATGTCCATCCTACGACCCAGAGTCTTTGTCATCATATACATAAATATATATATATATCTGACATTAAAAATCTATTTAACACAAAAATGCATATAATCAAGATACCACTTCTCTTCATACCCACTCTGCCTCAATTCTTTATCTTCTTCTCGGCAGCGTCCTTGTCAAGATAATGGAACTTTGTCCATCTGAACCCTTGACCCAACTGAGCCAACTCATTAACAAAATGACACCCAAACAACAAATAATTCTTGGGAGTCACCGCCAACGAATACCTCATAAACACCAAACTGTACAATATCAATGATCCCGTCATGGGTCCACTAATGACTTCCGGGTCCTTTTTCAAATCCATAATGGCAGCTATGGGGATACCGAAGTTGGAAACTGGTCCCCAGAAATGGGTAGTACACATGTACTTTAACGTCTTTTTGGAAAAGAGACTATCGGCGAATTTCTTGAATGATGACATGGCGGTTGTCGCAGTGGGCTGTTATATGCTAGTTTTTGGAGTCTGAGTTAGTATAAACGTCTGTGAAAAAATGAAAGTGAGGGGAGGGTTGCTGGAGAACAACATACATTGCGAGATATAATAGTTAGCTGTAATGACAGGTGATTTGTTTGTGATCCTGGTGGTTAAGTAGTGGTGGTAGTAGTAGAATATGTGTGAGTGATGTGTAACACAGGTGTATTAGAACAGTTGATGTCTATTCAACCGAAGAAAACTCCTGTTTTAAAAAGAAATCTCTCTCGTCCGGAAGAGTTGATATTTTTTTTTTTTTTAGTTCTTCTTCTTCTTCTTCAACGCTCAGTCGGTTCCAAAACGGTTAAAATAATAACCAGACCCCACACTTTAGTATATTTTTTTATTCAACTACAACAAACTAACCAACACTCTTTATGACCATATATGTAAATTTCATTAAATCACTTGTCCCTATAAACAGCTAGCTGTATTTCACTCTAGTAGACGACCTAAACATAACAAAACAAACAAAACAAACAAAAGTAGAAAGAACAAAAAAAAAAAAAAAACCAAATTGCGCTCCTCAATCTCTATCTTGATTCAGCCGCTCTTTTCCCTCCTGGTTGTAATATGTTTGATCTGGTGGATATGTTTGCACAGGATACCCGATTGGTTGCGGAAACATGTATCCCCCACCCATAAAGTTTGGCGCTGGATGTTGCGGCTGTGGTTGTGAAGTGGGCACCTGTTGCAGTTGATGATCCTTCTGCTGTTCATTCTGCTCCTGCTGTTGTTGCTGATGCACTTGAGAAAGCGATGGCAACTGTGATTGCTGTTGCTGCTGTTGTATTGTAGGAGTTAGTATAGGAGGAGGCAACCCACAAGACATTGGTCTACGCCCACCTAAATTCAACCCCATTCCAATGTTTGGTGTACCATTTGATGAATTTGCTCCACTGTTTGGTGTTTGTCTTGTACCCAGGCCACCATTGCCAGCATCATTCCAATTCCCAAAATTTGAATTCATTCCAAACAAATCCGACGGTGGTCTTCTCATGATTGGCCTCATATTAGCTCCTAATGAAGATGATTGCTGTTCCTGTGGCTGTTGCTGTTCCTGTGGTTGTTGCTGTGGCTGGTGTTGTTGTTGTTGGGTTGAAGGAGATAAACCGTTGTTGGATTCACCACTGCTTGTGGCCACCTTGATTGTAGAATTTTGTCTATCACCATCCTCATTTCTGTCTCCTACCAATTGCTGGCTTCCACCGTTCAAGGGTGAATATTGCTTGAATCCAGCTATTGGTTTGTTTGCTCTTGCATCTTCATCAATGTAGTATTGCATGTCATTACCGCCATCAGGAACGGTCAACCAGAATGGATCATTCAAATGGAAACCATTCAAGTACTCAAATTGCGAAGGATCACCAAATGGATTGGTGTTGACCAAGTACGACAAATTACCACGCGCAGTAGTGATAGGTAAATTAGAAACACTGTCTGGTGATGACGATGAAGTACCTCCAACAACATATTGTCTTTGCTTTCTAGCTTCCTCAGAACCAGACGTATCCTCCTGTTTTTCGTACAACAACTTAATCAAATTCAAAACACGGTTAATCAAATAAACCATGTTTGAAGACCACATTCTTGATGTCGTGATATACCTTGTTGAAAGCCTTTGCTCAAAGTGCAACAACGATTGCAAATTACTTTCAATCAATCCAAGAAATCTGTTATTCAATACAGATTTATCATCATTGGCAACAAAGTCCTTTGATTTGTAATGCAATAAGGTGAAAATAACAATGACACCTTGGCATATAAATGAATTCAAGAATGGGAAATAAGATTTGAAAAGCTTGCCAAACTTGACAGGACCATAATTCAAATTTTCATCACTCGAGTCAGCTCCATTCATCTGCCCAGCTTGGAAATGGTCATCAACACATTGCTTCAAAAATCCTTCAATAAACGTATTCAACAAGACCAAAAATTTAACCACTGATTCCGTTTGATTCTTGACAATTTCTTCGTAGCCTTCTGCATTCTCAAACTTGCTAATGAATGGCTCATACAACTTGGCACTGTTGATATGCAAAATAATAAGGTCGGCCAATAACTCCAAGCTAGTAAACTCTAATGACTTTCCACCGAAATCGTCAACCACCAAAAAGTCCAGATCATTGGCAGATATTAACACGTTGTTGTTGTTGGTATTGTTGTTGTCGTTGTTGCCATTATCAAGCAGCGAAGCATAAGCAGTGTTCAAGAGGCTGATTTCACGATCAAACTTGTGCGACAAATCAAGCAATGCTGCCGAAGAGAAATCAATCATAAAATTCTCAATCAACATCAAGTTTGACAACCTCAATGATTCACAAACACCCACTTTGAACAAAATGTGCGCCTTTTCATCGGTGATTACTGATCCTAATCCACTATTGGATCCATTCATACCAACTTGAACCGATATGGGGTTTGGTCTACCAAAAATTGAACAAATCAGCGAAACATAATACTTCAACGCAAACCATAATCTATACCTGGTAACATCCAATCCATCATCCTGACCATTGCTCTTGTCATCTTCTTCTGACCCTGAAGACTCTTTTTTGTCGCTAACATCTGAATCTTCAGCAGTGGCACTAATCAAATTTTTAAACTGTTTGCCAGGTTTGACTTCTTGCAAGTTATAATTACCCATGATGTGTAACCCAATGGAATAGGAAATCGAGCAAGCATGAAACATCATTGTCCAGCATTCCTCATACTTTTGTTCCAAAAAGTACCACTCAGTGCACAATATGTATGATTGGATGGTCAATAAGGACTCTTTCACCAAACCATGTCTTAATCTCTCATAACCTCTATGCAAAATGTTTCTCGTCAAATATTTCCGGTACTTTGTACATGTGTTGACAGAACCAGCAGGTAGCAAATTCAAATCGACAAAATCCTTTGAACTAAGTCTTTGTACCGCCAAACTCAAAATCATATAAACCAACATCATGTCGTCGTCATTATCCCAATCTCTATCATTGATGTTTTCGTAGCTCTTCAAAAATCCAAACACATGCGACGCCGAGATGAACGTTCTATAATATGGACTTCTTTCAAAAAACTTGTACACCAAGTTCATAATAACTTCAAAATTTAAACGAAATACATCATGGTACGTATCTGAATCGGTGCTGATATCGGGGTCCTCATACTTTAACAAGTACGAAGGTAAGATGGGAAGTTTCTTCTTTTTGCCACTTCTCTCCACCATACGATTCGACTTGACAGTTTCGTGGGTTTGGTAAGCATCGATATCCATTTCCCAGTTGTTGGACCCTTCGCTTCCACCAGATTTATTGCGCTTCATTTTGTAGACTCTTCTAAGTGGTGGCACGCCTTTATCATCTCTTGACGAAGGATGTTGTGCATCTGCTGGATTTTCTAGTGCTGCTGCTGCTGCTGCTGCTGCTGCTGCTACATCGACTTCATGTTGGCCAACTTCATCTCCACTACTTCCACCGGAAGATGAGGTTTCCTTTGGTGGAACAGTTCCAATAACGGGCACATTTGTCGAATACATCCCTTGATTTGCACTTGCTGAGTCATTGGGGAAGCTCGCCTTTGAATGACCAAAGAACCCAACCTTCTCCTTCTTGTTTGGAAGATCTTCTGACGAAGAGTCCGCAGTCCGCTCTCGTTTATTACTCGAAGTGGTGGTAGTTGTGCTGCCAGAAGAAGTCTTTTTCACTTGGGGTACGTTTGTTGCGGTTGCAGTAGTTGCTACTGCTGCCGCTGTTGACTTTGTTGTAGGAGCTGTTGACGACGAAGCGGAAGATGCCGATTCCGGCGTTGTATCAGAAACGGATATCTTCAGTAAAATTTCCTCCAATCTTTGTGTCAAAGCGCGGTTCTCATCCAACAATTGTGAATTAGCGGCCCGCATCATATCGAAGTTCTGTCTCATTGAAGTCATGTCATCGACATCGTTTGAGTTTAGCCTCCTAGGGTAATTATGCACCCTACCCAGGTCTCCAGATAATTCTGAGCCTGACTCTCCTGAGGGGCCGGAAACAGTATTCAATTTGGGGTCACGAGAAATGAGCTTACTTTCGACGCCAGTAGAGTCACTAACTGATGGTGGATCGGTTACCATCGAGCTTTGCGTAGACGTAGACGTCAATAATGAATTTGAACTTGCGGCACTGCTGCTCTTTGCACTTCCTCCTTCTGCCAAAGTCTGGAGTGGAACACGATGTGGCCGTAGCGCTTGGTTTTGTTGCTGTGATTGTTGCTCGAGTATATTGTGTTGGAGTTGTTGGTTATGTAGCTGTTGTTGTTGAAGATTGATACGTTCTTGGTTGAACAGTAGTTGAGTTTGCTGCTCACGTAGTAGTTCCAAGTTTCTCTCTGATTCCACAGCATTTGAATCTCTTTGAGTCTCCGCTTTCACCTTTGCACTCACTTGCTGCTTCCCTTCCTTCTTGCCATCTTCTGTTATATTGATATTTCTAAATTTTGCCGGGAAGTCACAGTCAACCTTTCTTTTTATACATTGGTCACAAGGTTTCTTCTTGTTACATTTGATCTTCCTCTTCCTGCAGGAATTGCACGAAATTGGTAATGTATCTGCCAGCATAGTGAATTGCTGCGAAATATTTCCTTTTACTGAATTGATAGTAATCCTATTGAAACGTTAGTACGTGAGGTGATGACATGTGGACAAAAAAGAAAAAAAACTGTTGATTCGTACAGCGGTCCCAACAATGCCAATCAACCATTGAGATCAGATTTGCGGTCCCTTATTGACTTCCGGTGAATTTTTGGAAATTGCTACTAAATCATGTGATCTAAAAGAATCGACAATGTATGCCACCTGAATATCCGAATGAAGCCTATAGTCCCCCCGCCCCCGCCCCCTCTCTCCCTTCCCCTGTCAAGTGTAATGCAGTCATTCTTAATATGAATATGGTAAACGAAGTGTGACCATAAGGGAGGGGGGGGTGCGATTTGAGTAAGGGGGTGCAAATTGATTGCGTGAATTAAATTTTTCTTTCCAATTAACTTAAAAGAAAAAAATCAAACAAACAATTCCTAGACAGCAAAAAAATTTGAATACATTTGAACTGATTGTGGCGTGAACTTTAAACTTGAGGGGTCATAGAATGATAAAACTATTCAAATGGTTTATAGTGAAACGTCAACTCGTGTTGGTAACATAGTGGCGACATGTATTATAACCTCTTAATTCATGCTTTATTTCTTTTGCTGTCCACTCTCGCCACTACCAAATCTGCTTTTAGCAATCGATCTGGTGTGATGAAATTATCTGAAGTTCAAAATCTGTGGTGTCGATAAGATGCAAAACTGCTGTTGAATATCTGCTGTTGGATCTTGTCAGCGTATTATGTCGGATGTGTGGATGTCGAGTATGAATTGGGGGGGGGGGAGGAGGAGCCGGAGTGGGATCTTCAAATCTGATTTTCATATGGCTGTAGGCTAAACACGGTGCTTTGAATGGTAACAGTTCTTGTCGCTTCAGCGCCTCCTCCTCTCTGCAATCAGAGAAGGTGGCTACTTCAAATAATACATACCCTTTGATTCGATTGTGATATCAAAAGTTTTGCTGTGAGTCTGCTTGTGGTAGTATAGTCGTAGTGGTAGTGGTAGTAGTAATAACAGACGAATAATAAAGGATACGACTTGCTATATCTTTTTGGTTTCGAAAATTACTATCTCAGTTTCGCGTGGGGAGTTGGGAAATTATGGTTGATCTTATATATCTGTTGACTATTTCAATGATGATGTAATGAGAACTTCTCCTTTATCTGTTGTTGTAGTAGTTATGGATTGGAATTTAAAGTTTTAAGGATTTGTAGTGGTAGTAGAAATATAGTTCGAACATGAACAGAAAGAAGAAGTGTAGGTTTAGTTGATGACCCTGATGAATCGGTATGTATATATATAAACTGGCTGTATGATGAAATTTTTCTTCTTCTTCTACTTCTACTACATCTGCTTATATGCAGGACTGAGACACATGTTTTACACCCCCTGTTTCTGTTTCTACTTTGTGTGTTTTTGGTCGTTTAGTTTAGTTTTTTTTTTTTTTTCCTTCTTCTGTCGCATAACAAACGAGAAACATTGTCTTAGATGTCTTGGTGTATTTGAGCAACATGTCTCAGATGTCTTTAAATGTCTTTTATTGTTTTTTGCTTTATACAACGGTCCTGTACTCCACACAACAATCCACGCTTATTTACAATTTGGGCAAGCTGATGATTCTGAGGAATTACCACACCAGCTTGGTTTCAGAGACGCTCGCTTTATTGACTTGCAATTTCTTTTGTATTTCACAATAAAAAACGGAAGTTGAGGGATTTTCGTAACTCTACTACGCAGTAAGGATGTTATTCCGAAGAAGCTAAATTCCATAGTGCCGAAAGTTATAGTACTTTCCCAACAAGATCTGGTTGTTGCGAACGCGTGTTTACTTTATGTAGAACCTTAATTGAGCTTTCTTCAACCTTCCAAGAAAGTGATGCTAGGCTCTCGGGTTGTGACTGCCCTTTAAAGTTAAGCACCAAAAAGTCCCGCTTGTAATATTCCCAACTACAACACACGGTTGTTGCAACATAATCAGACCATGTCTATATAAGAGAAGACTCTTTCTGTTACACTGTGGAAGAAAAAAAAAACAAAACAAATCCCATTGTAGCAATTGATTCAATCGTGTATACTTTTTCCAATTCTCTAATAATGTCCCCGTTTCAACAAGCTGATAGTGATGATTACTTTTTGGGCGAGGTAGGAAAGAGATGTGGCGAATTGGTATGGTCTTCTCCGCGCTACCGAAATTCGAATGCAAAAAGTAAACCGTTTAAAAAAACAAACGCAAAAGTGCAACGAGCTTGTTCGTCGGTAATCTTGTTGCAGCACTTGTGTCCACCAGACCCAGTTGTTCCACTGTGGTGTTCAAATTTGTCTCCAAGTGCAGACATATGCAGCAGATATACATGATTGCAGGTATAACAACAAAAAAGAAACTTTTTTTTCTTTTTTCTTTTTTCTTTTTTCTTTTTTCTTTTTTTTTGCGCGCCATGCATAAATTGAAATTTACACCCCCTCCCTCCCCCAACCATATTGTATTGCTAAACATACGCGCAACCTGGTTTCACTCGTATGATATTTGTTCCTTCTTGTCTCAAAAACTGAAACCTTTGTCTTGCATTCGAATCTCACTACACCATGAGGCTAATGTGTATTCAACGCTTTCTCCAAAAACGATACCCACCACCGCCAAAACCACTGAATATATGATTGAAATAGCAAGCGACAAGAAAAGCTTCTCTTCGCTTTGTGTGTGGTGTATGTCTTGTAATATTGTACACGACCTTCTTTAATTCACTTTAGTGTCATATGCACAGAATTGTTATTTTTTTTTACTTCTTGATGTTTATTTCCGCTGTCATCCAAGTCGGCGTATTTTTGTCCTCCCCACACTACTACCAGAGAATGTTATATAAGTCATACGCACTGCATGGACTAAGTTTAAACAATTTTTTTGCCACCGATGGATGACCTAGCTTCATACATTATCTAATCTAATCCAACTTAAATCGATTTGCATTAACCAAAACAAAAAAATATGATAGGAGAGGCGGAGGGGCGGCGAAGGGGGGGGGGGTGTTAATCGTATAATAATAGATGACTTACTCAAAGCATAGCAATTATCAAAAGTACACTACCAGCATTTCTACAACTTTCTAGAATTTTCCATACAGCAATCAAGGTTCAATAAGGGAGTAACCTGATTAACTGTTGTGCAACGATATACAACTCTAACAAACCAACAATCACCATCCGGGTCAGATGTGTTGTTGTTGTTCTGGCAAGACTCTCAATTATGTTCCGGTGACACAAAGCCCTCTCTTCTCAAGTAGCTATTGCAACCTAGTAAACTCGTACCCGAAAAATATTATAAGACACAGAATCGAAATTTGTATTGTAAATCAAAGACACGGGCTGCTGTTTGTGTTGAACTTTTTGAAACCAAAAACCTAAATGCCCTAAATGCACAACCGCTTGTTTTCGCATCACCTCTCTGAGATCATCTCTATGGGGCGGGGGGGATATTTGCCATCGCAAAGTCATGAATAGAGTAGCCAGTTAAGATGGAAGCAGTTTTTTTTACGGTTTCTCTACATATCTATAGATAGGGGGAATCTTATGAAAAACTACTAGGCAACAGTAACGGTAACTAATTGGCATTTTTAAGACATTTTTTTGCAACTTTGACCTACAATTAAGGAGATTTTGATCTCCATTCGTTTGGCATTCTTTCCATTTACTGGAACTGCCAACTTTGATGGCCATCTGCTTCTACATATTCTCAATGGATGCGACATAATCCTTCACTTTAGGGAAATTGAAGGCTTCTTTGGCCCAGTGATAAGCCTCCTTTGCCACATCGTCCACTTCCTTCTTGAGTTCTTCTCTGGAAAGAGCCATATTATCAACTTCTTGTATTATTTGCACACGCAAATTTGGCAACCTTGTCTGTGAAATAGCTCCTTTCATGATCTCAATCAGTTTCCAACGTGCTTTAGCTGGATAAGCTGCCGGCGTATCCGACAGGAGGTGCCTTACTGGTGTCGATGTAGATGCCCGTGCAAGAACTTGATTTTGTAGTGGTGTGTTTTGGCAAGCATTGTGAGTCGAATCGTGTTGCAAACTTTTGGCAAGGTTAGCAGAAGCTGCTATGTCGGTACCCAAGCATGCCTTGAGTTCCAAGCTCTCAATTGTATTGGCATTATATTCCCCAATTTCCCTATCTACATTCTTCTTTGGAAAACTGGTGATGGCCAAATCCACTTCCTCAGAACTGCTGTTATCATCAAGCAATCTCAAATCCGGAAAATAGTAATCATCAATGGAGTCCTCTGAGACTAGATCTTCATATGTATATGACTCCTTCCTCGAGTCTGTTTCTTTATCGTTAGTTGAAATATCGTGAACTAGATTATCATCACTACCCTTCGTTTGGGTTAAACTCTCATGGATTCTCCTCTTCTGTGACAGCTTATGTTGCTTCTTTTGATGAACGAGGTACTTGTAAGACAAACTGCCCATCTCAACTTCATGATTATATGTCTCCGCCCTCTTGATCGTTCCTGAACTGGTAAAGAATCTATCAATTTGCAAAGCTTTATCCAAAGATGAATGGTTGGTGTTGTGCTGATATCCATCAAGGTTGGTCATGGGGAAGGACTCTTCAACTTGGTTTATGCTTCCTTCAACACCACTTGTGAAGATTTTGGAGCTCGTTCCTGACGAATTCATCTTTCGGTTGTAAACATGGACAAAATCTTCATCAATACTCAGTGCTGGGTCGAGTGGTAGAGTGGTGGTGGTCTCAAGGCAAACAAAGACATCAGAAAGAGAAAAGGTCTCCAATGCTGGTTCTAACTATTCTAATCGAAATATGATTTGCATTAACTGCTTATCTACGTTACACTAGCTAGATATCTAGGGTAGCTTAAATTATCTGGTTGTGTTTCGGTAAAAAAGGGGCGCTGTCAGTTTTGCAACCAGCTCTACTCACCTGTGTTTTTAAGGATGACACTCTGAGTCGAGTTACATCCACATTCTAGGCAGTAAAGAGCTTAAACTACCTCTCATAATCCCTTCATTTTATGCCTTTAGTCTTATTCATACAACCTACCTCCTTCACCAACAACTATATCACCCCATAAGGACCCAAATCGGAACCTGCAAGCAAATCAAATATGGCACTGAAATATTCAAGGATAGATTTCACAGCACCAGGGTAAAGAAGATTCGAAATTCTTGCTGTGTGTTTGCATCCTTGAACAGGTGGTACTCCATTGAACCGATTAATTACCCATGTCAATGCAGCAGGAGCTCCAGCAATAGCTTGCGTCACGTGGAGGGAAGTTTGGTCCTCAGCAAATTCCCCGGACTCGAGTCCAAATTCACACCAACGTTGAAATGTCATAATCGCGTCTCTAAAGGGTAAGATATTGTCATGTGTTCCGTGGAAAATGAAAATGGGTATTTGTGGAACATACTCTTCTGATAAGTACAACAACCCATTCTCTTGTAATACAGTCTTGAGAGGCTCCTCGTTGAAAATCCCCCATCCATCAGGGAAAACTCTATCTGGGCCGGTAAAATAGTTGCGGAAAACATTGGTCACTGCACTTTCAAAAAAACAGAGATCCCCTCGTGTCAGGAATTGTTCTGCATGATCAGGACTAACTCTTGAATCCAAAAATGCTTCAACTTCAGGGTACTCGTTCCCAATCCCAGCAAATGCATTCGGTATTAACCCAGAGAATAAAGACCTCTCGGTGTATTCAAATAGAGCTGTCAAGTTGGGGTAGAATCCACCAAGTGCTGCACCAAGCAACGATTGACTGAGTTCTGGTGCATATTCCTTCTGAAGCACAGCTGCCCATCCAGCAGCAATAGATCCTCCTGAAAACCCCCACATTACAGTCTTTGCATCGGAGCGGATCCCAGTAATGTCTTCTGAGCTCAACACTGCCCTAATAGAGTTCAAAGTAGCCTGACCGGAGTTGCGACCAGCAGTAAAAGCACTTTGCAATCCCTCGTGATCGGGAATCAAAACATAATAACCCTGAGAGAGGAACGCAGATACAAGGTACATTTCAAGTTGTCCAAGCAAATTAGCAAACCCTGATTTGTATTGAATAGCAAATGAAATTGCGCAGTCTAAATTTCCAGAGTCTTGGAAGCTTTGGTACGACAAGACCTTGTCATCACTTGCATTGAATGGTTTAATAACTGTCGCCACGACCGCGCTAGGGTTACCAAATGTATCCTCAGATCGCACCATCAATTGCCACGAGCTTTCAACAGATACTTTGTTTATGATGCTACCAAGGGGACCAGGCGTGTTCCTGTGCTTGAGAATGGCTCCAACTTCATATTCCTCGTATCCTTGAGGGGGGATATAGAAATCGTCCTCAGAAGGTACCGTTGGTCTTGTGGTTGTTGCAAAGGCGCTAGCAAGAAGGTATAGTGAAACAAACGCAAAATACATTGAATCTGGTGAACGCTTTCAACTCGAATCATCTTGGGTTGGTTTTCAGATCAAATTAGTCTCTCTTTATACTTGCTCAAGCTCTCTTTCACTCTCTTCAAACATACCCAACAAAAACAATTGAACCATTGAATGTGGGGATGGCCTGAGGTAAGAAAAATCGTGAAAGGTAATTTCAAGAAGATTGGAACAATTTGGTTGTTTTAGGAAGTTTCAACTAAGTGGCATATTTTGACAAGTGGGTATCTCGAAGGAGAAAAAAAAAAAAAAAAAGTCTGATAAAGCATAGGTGCCCATGGGTTATCAATGGTGAGATTTATAGCTGATCTGCATCTTTGTGAATGTGGATGAGGATGTGTTTTGCTAGCCACATGTTCATGGAGTTACCTCTTTATTCCTGTCTTTTGGCGGTAGATTCTTTCAAGTTGGACTTTATCTCCGTAAATTGCCACAACATCGGATATATAGTATTGGAGGGAAGAGGTGGCGGATGAGAGTGAATCCGTCGAAAGGCAGTGCCTCGTTTGCATTACTCTCTTGGTGAGGACACTTTATCGATCTCTCCCAACTTGGATCATGATTGCCACACTAGCCAGAAACGTAAAAAGGACCATCAGAGTCACATTTTTAAACCGGGTTGAAGCCTATTCACTTGTAACGTAGATGGTAACATTCCTTATAGTATGAGGTTCTTTAAAAGGGTATCGTTACTGTTCAAACGTAAAAGACATTTCGATAAGGTAAACTTGTTGTACTTTGTAGCACGAGAAAAAGGCAAAGAAGTGCTGTCGCACCAAGAGTTTCCACAATCGACAACTTCATGATCACTTTTGACTCCCATCAACAACACTAACTGTATCAGTACACAACAGTCACACCCATTACCAGAGTGTTCAACATGCCACGTTTAGAAGAAGACGAGATCAAAAAGTACTGGCAAATATTTCAAGGTTTGAAACCAGTCGGCAACAAACTATCTGGCGATAGCGTTGCTCCGGTCTTGAAAAACTCTAGATTGCCACAACAACAACTATCAGCAATATGGGATCTAAGCGACATTGACAATGACGGGAGCTTAGACTTTGAGGAATTCTGTATAACCATGAGATTGATTTTTGATTTGGTGAATGGGTCCATCGCTGAAGTTCCGGACCAACTACCATCTTGGTTGATCCCATCTTCCAAAGCAGCTTTAATTCAAGCCAATCAAGCTGTTAGTCAGGGAAGAAATGTTGGATTAGACTATGAGGATGATGAGGATGGGTTGAGTGATGATTTTGATTGGTACATTTCGCCCAGCGACAAATCAACATACGAAACCATCTATCAATCAAATAATGACCAGTTTGGTAGAATAAGGTTTGATTCGTTGAACTCACTATACTCGACTTTGAAGAATGTCCCATCGAGTGATATTTCCTCTGCATGGAACTTGGTGAATCCAAAATCGTTTGAAACCATCGATAGGGATCAAGCGTTGGTGTTTTTACATATATTGAATCAAAGAGAGAATGGAAAGCGAGTGCCTCGTGGCGTGCCAGCTAGCTTAAGAGCTACTTTTTCAAAGGAAGTACCTAGCTATGACTTGAGCGCACAAGCCAAACCACTTGAAACAACAAAGACACAAGCATCAAAACGTTCATTCGCCGAAAGTTATTTGAACAAGTTGGGTCATTCACATAATGGTCACACTGAAAGAGGAACTGACTTCTCAGCAACTGAAGGGACAGATTGGGAAGAAGTGAGATTGAAGAGAGAATTGGCTGATTTGGAAAAATTACTCTTCCAAGTTCAAAATCGATCGAATGCTGATAAGAAGGAATCTGAAGAGCAAGCTATGATAAAGTATGAGTTTGAGCAATTGTTAAAGTACAAGCAAGACCAATATAATAGACAACAATCAGGTACTGGGAACGAGGATTTGCTGAAAGTGGAAAATGACATTAAAGACCTTGAAACACAAGTTGAATCGTTGCAAGAGTATTTAGATTCGCGAAATCAGGAGTTGAACAAATTGAATCAAGAGATAGCAGCTCTACAACAACGTTGATTAGAGCACAATACAAGAAAGAAACAAAGAGAAAAAAGTTTTATAAGTTCAAACTGCAATATTTTAGTCTTTTGTATGTAATTTGCGTATGTTTGTGTGTGTGTGTGTGTTTGTGTGTGTGTGTGTGTGTGTGTGTGTGTATGTGTGTGTGTGCGTGTCTTCTTTACTTCTTTTCATCCTTGTTTTCTGGCTCTGGTTCGGGAGTTGGTAATTTAAAGTTCTCTGGAGTGAAATCTTGACCATCGCCAACTGGTTCCCAAACCGATGAACCAACGGTGAAATTTCTCCAAGCTTGAGTCAATTCCAATGGTTCATAAACAACCCTCTTTTTCTCCTCATCGTATCGAACTTCAGTGTAACCAGTAGTTGGGAAATCTTTTCTCAATGGGTGACCTTCGAAACCATAATCGGTCATGATTCTTCTCAAATCAGGGTGGCCTGTAAAGAATACACCAAACAAGTCATATGTTTCTCTTTCGAACCAATTGGCACCATTGAATAAAGGTGTCACAGATGGCACAGGGCTGGTCTCGTTAGCATAGGTCTTGACTCTTATTCTTGAATTGTGTCTGACTGACAACAAGTTGTAAACAACATCAAATCTATTAGTTCTTGAGGGGTAATCAGCAGCAGTAACATCCATACATGCTTTGAATTGAGCTGAGGTGTGATATTTCAAAAATGACATAACTGGTCTTACTGCAGATGGAGCAACGTAGATTGTCAACTCATCCTTCCATACGGAAAACTGTTGAACAAACTTGGGTAAACATGCCATGATATAAGTACCAAACTTGTGCAATTCTTCTATTTGTACTTTATACTTCTCAGTTGGATTTATCAAGGGAGCGTAAATTTCAGGTTCCTCTTTTCTAGGTAAAGTTTTGAGATCCACGAGATCTTCTTCATGAGCAATGCGTCTCATGGTGGACTGAGTAAACGTTCTAAGGGTTAAGGATGTGGGAGAGACTAATCTCGGAGCCCTTTGAACTGTTCTTTTGAGTATTGCCAATGGTACCATATTGTGTAGTATCGTTGTGGTGAAGTTGAATAAATAATGTTATGTACAAGTGGTACACGCTTGGAATGAAGTGGTTGGGGGTTGCAATTATGGGGGCAATCTCCACGTATGCGGTCTAATAATGGTCAAAGAATGAATCAATGGTAGAAGAATCTTATGCGATTGGCTTTACAAAGTTCGAAATTTTTCTTTTCTTTTTTTTTTTTTTTTTTTCTTTTCTTCAATTCTTGAGTGCAGCACCAAAACTGCAAAACAGAGTAGTTTAGTGAAAAGTGGCTACTATCGCTCGTAGGTTAGCATTTGAAGTTGTAGATGTTTGTGGATCAGACGAGCTGTAACAATACTACAGATACAGAGGCAAATTTTACAAGTACTGACCATATTCGTTGACTAATGTGTAACTGTAATTTTTGTTATTTGTAAGTCAAATTCGGAGAAACGCAATTGGGCGAAAACGAGAAACAAAAATGGTCGTGTATTGGGTGACAAAAAAAGGAACCTCGAATTTAAAAAGTGCCCAGTTCGAACCTGACTTCCAAATGCCAAATTGAGTTGCATACAAGTCCAATATGATAATAGAATCACGTCCAATATGTTGATACAATGGAGCTGTTTTGAAATGCAAAAAAAAAAATGGTAAATCTCTTTGTAAAGCGTGTCATCTTTATGCAAGGACAATGCTAATCTTCTCTGTATTGTTAAAATTGACAAATGTACTATCCGAAGATAGTACGAACAAATCAAGATTTTGCACTAAACAATCAAAGCAAAATCTATCACATGACACATAGTTAAAAGTAGTGTCACGTGAGCATATGAATTCTTAGCACCGTCCCAGCAAGCTTCAAACAAAGGCTATGTTGTAAGACACGAGTAGATACATTTTTTCAGCCTTCGCAGTGGATTGACACCAGTTTCCCAAGCGTTTATTCGCTCTCTTTTCAACCTTCCAGAAAACCGCAATGTCTATTTGTGCTAAGTATCACTTTCTCGCACAAGATAGATACCTCCATCTGGCAGAATTGGTACCATATACCAAGGTTCACTTTCGAAACGATTGCAAGTGATGGCGATGTTTTGTTTTCATGCTAAGTGAGCTGTATCAAGTTAAGAACCAATCGTTTTTAGATCCCACAACTCTCGGCCAAAGAGAAGAAGGAAAAAAAAAAAAATAGAATAGAAAAATAACATGTCAAACCAAGCAGCAAAGAAGCACTTTGAATCCTGAAAGATGGTGCGAGCAGCGACCACTACTTGGCGACGTTCAACAAGTGCGGTTGTATTCAATCGCGGGATATCAATTAATAACAGGTCCATACCATCGTCGGCAGCATCTGCACCTACAACACAATCAAGTGATGCAAACGATGAATCGGAAATCTTAAACAAGACAATTGCTAATCCTGAAAGCATTGGCCAAGTAGCTCAGCTCAAGTCGTATCAGACTTTGGAAACTGCTAAATTTGAGAGTTTGGGTACTCCACCTACACTTTTGTCGATTCATTCGCCGCCTTCAGTTCCCATTTACTTACGTCGTGGGTCATTGTTGTCAATATATGGATTGAGATCGAGCACCGGCGAGAACAACAGCAGCAACAGCAACAGCAGTCTTGATGTTGATGACGGACCCATAATTCGAAACACGGTCGAATTTCCTCATTGGTGGAAACGGTTTATCCTAACCGGTAAGATCCAAGCTTTTCAGAAATTGATATCGACTATTCCCATATCGCTATTAATCAGTAGCAAAAATAAATCCAATAGCAACCAGCCTTCCGATCCATCATTTGTCAGTTTGATACTTGATGGACTGAATGATTGGGCAATTTTGAACAAGAATGCAGTTCAAGTGTACACAGGGAATTCATTATCTGTCAGTATTCACAGTCTACCACGGTACATTTCAAAGAAGTTGGCCAAGCAATTGAACAAATCCGGTGGCGGCGCAGCAGGCAGCAGTAGTGGAGGAGTTTTCAGAGTGGGACTTCGGTGGTTTGGTAAAAGTGGAGGGAGTACCACAACCGCCACTGGTGGTAGCACTGCGCGAGCCGAGACTGGGTTACGTACTTTGTGGAATAGGGGATACACCTTGTTGAGTGGGAGAGGACAAGTTGGAGTCGTGGGGAATGGAGGTGTGTATCAATTGGATGTTGGTGACCAAGAGGAGATTTTGATAAACAAGAGGGCAATTTTGGCGATTACGGTCAATGGGCCATTTGATTTGGAGAATTGTGTGTTGAGGGATATGTCAAGTGTGTCATTGCAACAAAAGTCACCTGTAACAGCAGCAGCAGCAGCAGCAGCAACACCAACAACGACAAGCTCATCTGCAAATGCGCCATCGTCATTGTTGCTGTTTCTGTTTCTGAATTTGGTACTGAAAGTAAAACCAAACACACAAGTAGTTGCTGATACAGCAACGGCACCTCCAGCAACCACCAAAACCACCCCACCCTCAACTGCCACACTCACATACTATCAACTCAAACACTACTGGTTTCGGTTTGTCCAATTAACCAAATCACTCGTATCACACACGAGGCACACATACCACAGACTACACGCAAGATGGGAAAACTATACATTAGGAACTAGCGACTTTGTCAAAATCGTAGGTCCAAGAAACGTGCTCATCCAGTCGAGCTTCAATGTGCGTAAACAGTCCAAAAAAGAAGCTGGACAACGTGCGCTGCCACTCATGCTGTCACCATCGAATGGATTCCTGGATTCAAATGTAACGCCGACAACGACAACCACGCCACAGGATTATTTGAGCTACGTCACTATTGATCCGGAACAAGGTGCAGTTTTCAAAAGCACGCCCAATTTCAAACAAACAGTTGATGAAATTGAACAACGTAATGGAAACAAAAAGTAGAACATAGTTTTGATATTTTCTTGTAAATTTCTTTTTTTTTTTTTATAGATGGTTTAGATATAGGAGTTTACCAAATTTCCAAGTCTACTTTTTCTATATTATACTGCTGCTGCTTCGTCTATCATCATAAATTCTCCATTATATTAAAAATAAAAAATAAAAAACTATACAAATTAAACCGTTTTGTATAAAAATCTCACTAGTTGACGAACTGAAAATAATCTCTATAGGTAGTCATACACCTTTTCCTTAATCAATGGTCATCCCAACTTTGCACTTTTCTAATTAAAGGCTCATTGTGTGTGGCAACCGTTGCTGGGGGAGGAGGTGGAGACTGGTTTTGGTGTAGGTGGTGTGAAGTCGATGGTGACATTGGCGAACCTGGTGTGCTCTTGTTGTCACTTGAATACAACTCCGCTTTGAGTATTTGCGAAATCGGTGGCAATTGTGGTTTCGAAGTCGTTGCGCCATCGTCATTGGTTGCAGTTGGTTGCTGTTTAGGCATGTACTTTTTGTCGCTATTGTTGTCAAAGTAATGTGAAGTTGCATTATTTTGGACCTGGTGTGTTGTTTCGCCTCTACCCTTCTTTTGAAAACGTCTTTTTCTCTTTTTAGAAACTGGTGGTGAACTATCGGCCCCAAGTAGGTTGCTATTGTTGTGGTGCTGCTTATTGTAGTCTTCCTCATCCTCCATAGATTCGTCCTCATCTTGAACGCCTTCGTCTCCGTCAGTCTCTCCTCCTTCCTCAACCTTGTGCTCGAGAATAGGTGAAGGCTGTTCGAAATCAATAAGACTCCGCAAATTGCTCTTGTTTCTGGGCAAATTCGACACTGGATCGCCAGAATCGTTACTAGTTCCGAGCAAACTCACACTGCTGTTGTTATAGTTGAAGCTCAATGGCGCAAATTTGCCGCTTCCCGGCAAGGAATTCGGTCTCGAACTTTCTTGACTGGAGTTACCTGAGTCACGTGGTAACGAAAACAAACTTGACGAATCTTTGGTGCCACTGCTGATAGAGCTGGCACTGTTTGATTCACCATTGCTCTTGCTAGAACGTCCACTACCATCCGAATGACCACCACTTGTTTTGGAATCCCCAGATAGGGAACTGCCCACTTCGTCGCCGTCATTGCCGGATGAAGATCTTTCTGAGCCCGAGCCGGTATCAACCTCCTCATTTTCCTTTCCAGGCGATGGACTATCTGAAAGATTGGTTGTTGGTGGATTCTCCCCTGATGATGAAATCGCAAGTGCAGTTGAGTTCGTACTAAGTCTGTTCTGGTGCTTTTCATTATCTGACAGCAGCAACAGCAGTTCCTCGTTGCTTGCAAAAATCGATGGGGCCAGATTCATGCCTCGAACTGGGGTGTGATTGTTCCTAAGTTGAGCAATAGACCTACTATTTGAAATTGGCGACGGTGGCGAAGCTTGCTGCGACAAGGACGAAATAGGATGTTGTTGACGTGGTTGCAACAGTGGCAAAAACACCCCTCCTCCACTCCATGTTCTTTGTGAGTGGGAAGGAATCGTATTGGAGGGGTGAATTTTAGGAGGTGGTAGTGGTAAGGGAATAATGCCAGTAGATGGCGAATGATAACGATGATGGTACTGTTGATTTGACTCTTTAGGATGATACGTAGGTGTTACGTCACTACACACATTAGAGCTATCCAAGGACGTACCACTGATTTGAGCATTCAATGGTGAGTGGAAGACTGTACGCCGAAAGGCGTCTCCTTGATAGGTGATGCTTTGTGAGTTGGGCGTGGAGTAATCTCGATAAAGGGATGATGTATTTCCACCCTCGGAATACAGTGAGGGCTGTCTGGGAGGAAGTTGTGATGGTGGAATTAAAGAATCAGATGCTGAAGCAACCAGAGCCAAAGGAGGCAAGCCTGGTTTCTGCGTTGATGATAATGGAGCCGCTGCGGGTGGTGGGCTACCATGATATGGAATACTGTTGGAATATGCTGTCACATCCCCTTGCCTCGCTTGTACTGGTGCTGATGCTGGTGCTGGTGCTGATGGAGACTCAGAGCTTTCTTGTGATGAACCTGACAATGGCACATTATACAGTTGGGGGCCACCATTGCACCATAAATTTCTTGACCCTGGTGATGGGGATGATACAATATAGTACTTTGACATTACTTTAGCAATTGCTTTACCCAAATCACTCCAGTTGAACACCTTCAAGTCCTTTTCAATATTTCTTGGACGAGGGTTTTCCATCCCCATAATCAAACTGAAGAATTCTCGATCATTCTTGTTTGATCTCGATACTGTGGTTGGCTTCAAGCTTTGCAAGTTTCGTCTAATACGATTCTTCTCTTCAATACCAAAACTTTGGTGTACAAAGTATTCGAGCAACAAAATGATGTCGACTGAAGTGCAAATAAACTTATTCTTTTCGCGCCAATAGATGCAAGAAACAACAGCTTGTGTTACTTCATAATCATTTGGTTGAAGTGGTTGGAAATTGATCACCTGCACAGTGTTGTTGTTGTTGCCATTATTTTGCCCTTGCAGGATATCAAACTTGACCAATCTCCTGCTTGCTTTTATCTCCTCTTCGGTCCAGTTTTCCATCATTGTATTGAGGTTTTTGATGAATTTCAAATTGACTGAGTGGTTTTCGTTCAAGTGGTGCAGAAATTGACGTACAAACTGTGAATTTGAATTGGAAGGTTGACCCATGTGGTACAGCAGTGAGTCGAATCTATCATTTGCAGAAGAAACGTTGTACTTTTTCTGCAAGTCCTCGGAAGAAGAACGAGAAGGGTACTGCTGTGACTGTTGTTGTTGTGGTTGTTGTTGTTGTTGTTGTTGATGACTTTCTGGTAAAGGTAATGTTGGTTTAGGGTGACTCAATGGGTATCCATTGATGTGCGACTGAGGTACATGATCGAAAGCAGCTTCACCACCACTGCTAACGCTGTATTGTTGATCGTGGTGAAAGTTGTCTCCCACAAGATTATGGTTTGTGCTGTGATCAAACATTTGAAAGTGAGGAGTAGTTCTTGAAGGAAAACTATTGTGTTCCTCGTGACCTCCACCAGTATTATTGGAACAGGAGCCCTGTTTGTTATAAAACCCATTGTTGCCAATAGGGGCACGCAAAGGTTGCTTAACTTGACTATTCATAGCAGTTGTAACCGGTGGAGGCAAGGACATAAGTGGGTGTGGGGGTGGTTGCAAGCTAAGATTAGCATGCAAAGCAGAAGGTGCAGGTAGGGGGGATTGGTTTAAACTGTGCTGGAAGCCGCCATTATTCCTCAGCAGTGACTCTATCTGTATATTTGCGGTAGCATCAAAAGATGGTTTGCTGTAATGGCTGTTGTAGCCGCTGGTGTGATATGCATTTTGAGTATTGTTGTTTTTGCTATTGTGGTTTGTTATATTCGACGTGATGTTTGGAGTAGCAGTCGACGCAGAATAACCTGTTGATGTAAATTTATTGCAATCTGCCATAGTTGTAGATGGACAGATGTAAAGTGAAAAATGAGTATACTATTGAGTGGTTGTTTGTTGTATACTCCTCTCCCTCTATCCCGTGCTGTGATGTTTTGAAAATGTGGTGAGAAAATGTATTTAAGATAGTGTGCAATATATGAAATGGGTAAGTTGTGTTGTGAAATTACCTGTGGCTATCTATGATTAGGGGGTGCGTATATATGTGTATGTATATGTGTATGTATATGTGTTAGGCTATCATGTGTTAACTAATGACTGGTGAAAGTTGCAAATGTATATAGTCGAGAGTCCACTAAGTATGTGTGTAAACAAAATGGTGTGTAGTTTCTAAGAAGTGATATGTGGAATATATATATATTGTATTGGCAAGGTGAAAGAAAGGAAATTATAGTTTTGATTCACTTGTAGAAGAAGAACAAGTGTTGGTATATATATATATATATATATATAAATATACATTAGACTTGAGAGACATATGTTCTGATGGATGACGATGTATTGAAATATTTTATTTTTTTTTTTATTTTTTTTATTTTTTTTATTTTTTTTATTTTTTTTATTTAAATTTCGCAGCTGAAGTCCGTTACACAAAATACAAGAGAAGAATAAAAATGTGAACAACAAACAACATCATTTAATTTAACAATTTTCAGCAACGTAAAAGAAGCAATAGCAGTTAATAGTAACAAGTAGTAGTATGGAAGAGGAAGTGCGAAGCGTATCGCGTGTACTTCTTCTTTACAGTGCATTGTTTGTTTGTTTGTTTTAATTTGACTTGTTTACTTTATACTTTCAATGACATCATCATCTAACCTTAAATTCATATATTAATACTTTGTTGAAGCAATCAAACTTTAGAGAAATATGTGTATATATATATATATATAGAGAGAGAGAGAGAGAGGGAGATACTTTACTCAAAACTCTAGCTAAAAGATAACTCTAATATACTGTACTATATACACCATGTATCCAACTATACAGATCATGTATATATTATTCTCTTTAGTCTGAAGTGAGACAAACAAACGGATTTCAAATAAATACAAAAAATAAAATAAAAATAAAAATAAAAATAAAAAAAAAGAATTTCTTTCTCTCCTTTAACTTTGCTATTTCTATACCATACAAATATTTCTCTATCTTTAAGTGCTGGTTGTAAAATAACTCACTCTTTTACAGTACATATATATATTATCATAGTCTAAAGCAATTTCGGAAACAACAATAACAGCAGCAACAAAAGCATCATGCGTGTTTGTGTGTCTGAGTAAAGTGTAAGGATTTGTAAAGATAGAGAAGATTTTTTGATCTACTTCTTCTATGAGACATAGATGAGACAACATTTGAGACACTGTCACTAATGAATCCCTCTCACCCCTCAAAAAGATTAAATAAAAATAAAAATAAAAATAAAAAAATAAAAATAAATAAATAAAAATAAAAAAGAAAGAAGAAAAAAAATAAAAAAAACACTTTGTACGAAATCCGTTGCCCTCGACTTGGAAAAGGAAGAGAAAAAATAAGTTCATTACTCCCATTATAATATTTCCAAAGTACACTACCTTTTGCAACTACCTATCAATAACCATCTTTCGTCGCAAATTTCAGCAACCAATATGCTGAAATTAGAGAAGCGATAGCAATAGCAATAGCAATAGCAATAGCAATGGCAATAGTCACAGTAGAAGACTCACCCACAAACAATGGACTATATTACTCTCTCTCTCTATGTTCACGTTGTTTTTCCGTCATCTAATCATGGTAGATACACACTCCTTTACCTCATAAGAAATACAATGTCCAGGCAGATTAAGCGATATCAATGGAAGCTTAGTCGTCAACTACTTAAAATTAATGACTTGTACTGCATAACTTACACAATGTTTGTTATGTTTCCACTGTTCCTTCTTCACTTCCGGTATATGTCCGTTTAAAGGTACACAAATTTCATGAACAGTTACGTTACAGTACGCACTCATGACACATGACGCTTTATAGTAATGGAGAAGCAAGAAAGTAAATACAAACCCTCAAAGAGAAGGAGAAAAAAAAAAAAAAAAAAAAAAAAAAAAAACCAAAATATAAAGAAAAAAAAATTTCACTCGTTNAAAAAAAAAAAAAAAAACAAAAAAAAAAAAAAAAAAAAAAAAAAAAAAAAAAAAATAAAAAGAACCAAAGTCTAAAGAATAAAGAATTTCACTCGTTATTATCAATTATTATAAATATTTTAAGCGGAGTTCCAGTATTTGGTTGCAGACCAACTTCAAAAAGCAAAAACAGCACAGAAGTAAGTATACACCGTGTACACACACCAACACACATGGGAACCTTGGTGTTTCAACTCTTTTGCACGTGTGTAACTTGAAACAAAACAATCACAAGTGTATATCTCTCGTCTAGACATTGCAATTTTTTAAAAGTGAATGTGTTGTACATACACAACACGAATACAATCTCCCTCTCTCCCTCTCTCTTCACATATACATAGCTGCCTCGTTCAACTTTGAATTTAAATCAGCCACATACAGCACAACTTTTTTTCCACATCTAACCGAATTAATAACGAGGATTACTGAAATTTGCTTTTTCGTTGCGATGGTTTTGTTGCAAAAAAAGAAAAAAGAAAAAAGAAAAAAGAAAAAAGAAAAAAGAAAAAAACTGTCAAAAATACAAGATGAACCGATCCATAATTTTACTTGCCCCAATCACTCTATCGGAATAGAAGGGTCTATTTCTCAAAGAAGAACTTCCCGCCTCCTTTTAATAAGGCAGTTTGCAAAAACTAAGAAGATTAGAGCCAAATTGATGAAAAAAAATTAAAGACGACTTGAACGATGCGGGAATCGAACCCACGGCAATTGCTTGGAAGGCAATTATGTTACCACTACACCAATCGTCCCAATTGATGGGTTTGTAGGTTGAATCTGCAAACCAGTGGTGCTCAAAATAATCACGTTACTTCTACAATTTAAAGAATTTTTTGGGGCCGTGAATCTTTCTCAGAGTGACATGATTTCAATCACAACTCTCACGTTTAACATCAAGCGGTTCTCTCCCTTTCCAATAGCTCAGGGTTAATCAGTTGAGAATTCATTCAATTGTATCTAGAGGCTAATCTACAACGCATTTGAATTTTAACGCATTTGAATTTTAACAGATATACCTGAAAACTTCTTAAAATAAGATCTCATGTGTATTGCTCAAGAAAGATCTAAAAAGCATGGCATGGGACACCATATCCAACATTCTTCTCCAATTGACAGAAAGCATCGCATTGAAGAGCACAGAGAGTGCCACCCTTCTCCCATACATAAAACTCCACGGTAGAACAATATCACTTATACTATCAATCCTTAGACCATCCAAAAATGAAGTGACAATGCACCAGAGTTCCCGACTGTTGCTCAACTGGAATAAATTGAGTAACCACATCAAGAAATTTTCTACATTGCAAACAAACTGGGACATACACATCAAGGAATTTGCGGTCGTCCTTTCCCTAATATCACAGAAAAGGCAAGTCAAAATACCAGTGGATGTAGGAGTGTCAAACCTTTCACCCGATATAGATCATTGGCACAAGAAAGAATTTAAAGAATGAAAAATATACCAAATAAAAAAGGTTCTATCCCTTAGTCCATCCATTTTCGGTAATTGCTTATAACTAGACACTTCTCTCAGCGTTTTTCGTTGCGATTCAAAAAAAAAAAAAAAAAAAAGTGCGATAAGATCAAATACATCATCACAGCATCATCTCCTCCAGCTCTGGCGACTACACAGCAGCGATGGACTTTTTACTTGATCTACCGACACATCTACCGAATGAGACGCCAGATACATCGACCGCGCAAGCCATTGCCGAACAACCGCCAGCAATACCAAGTGACAATGCAACCTCATCTACAAAAGACACACTACCCCATTCACCAACAACCACTTCCAAAAAGGTAGTTAGTATACCGGGGACCAACATCACGCTTCAGACAGAAGAAGATATAGCCAAGTGGATAGAAGCAAGAAAGAAAAACTGGCCTACTAGAGCCAATGTCGAACGAAAGCAACAACTCAAGGAGGAGAAACGCAAATCATATCAGCAACCACAAAGACAAAAGCGATCCTTGGAAGAGGATGAAGAAGGAGAAGGAGATGCAAATGGTGGTGGACCACTGGAGAATAAACGAAGTAAAACGATTTGTCGATTTTTCCAACAATACGGCAAATGCAAATATGGAAACAGGTGTAAGAACATTCATGAAGCACCTAATCCTCGAGATGATCCAAACCCAATTGCAACCAAATTCAACAATACTTTGACTCATTCCAAGAGACAGTTGAACGGAGTTACGATCCTCGTGCCTAAATTGTACTCCAATAGAACTCAAAATACAGCCACTTCACAATCGTCATTATTTAAGCATTTGATAACTCAAGATCAGATGAAGAATGAAAACAGTTTGGTTATTGATTTCATTAGGTATTTGGATGACAAGGGGAAGATAAACCACGATGTCATGAAAGACCGCAAGTAGATATTATATAAGCCCCATGATTCTAAACGTCTATTCGTCTAAATCTAATAAATAACTTTTACATAAACAACCACAGTATTCTAATACAAATCACCATCGTATTTCTTTGTAGCGTCAAGCAAAATGGTACATTGTTTCCCGATATCCGCCAACTTACTAATCACAACACCATTACCTTCACCAAACCCATAGATGGAGTAAGGAAGTCCAACTTTTTTACAAAAATCAATCACATGAGGCTGTGTACGTCGGAAGTTGTGACGGGGTAAACGAGGGAACAAATGATGAATAGCTTGGAACTGTAAGCCCCCATGTAAGAAATCCAACCATTCAGGACAATCAACATCCATCGTGGTTCTAAGTTGTCTGGAAGGGAATGATTCACTAACTCCTAAATCGGACGTTGACATTGCAAAATGTGACAATGTGATTTGAACATGAACCACCATGGTGGCAATGTGGCTCACCATGACATAATTGAACCTGTTCCAACCACCATCAATCGACTTGAACACCAAGACGTAAAAAAACCAATAAAAGAAGAAACTCAATCCAACAAGTTCAAAGTATCTGAACCAAGCTGCTTTCCCGTGTCTTGGTCCTTGTCCCAATAGAAGATGTGTCCATGATAGTCTATAAAGGTTAAATCTTCCAAAACACAACATAGGATAATAAAGAAAATGTTGCAATGGAATCACTGCCTTGGCAAATGCATCAAACCATAAGACCTTTTCATAATAAGTTGAGTAAACATTTTCAAATAACCTGACACTAACAGCAAAGAATGGCAAATGCTGAATATCAGGGTCATGAACAGGATCATTGGTGATCAAATGATGAACATTGTGGTTTCGTTTCCACCAACCTAAACTCAATCCACCAAACCAATCAGCAATAAGCATCCCAAAAAGATTGTCAAATTGATAGTTGTGGGTAATGGAGACATGACCAGCATCGTGGGCAACAAAAGTGGCTTGGTGCCACGACATACCCATGAAAATGGCACTAGTGGTGAGCCAACCCAATTTGAAAAACGACAATGAGTACAAGAAAAGTGATCCAATTTTAGCAACTTCCCTCACATATGCCCAATAATCACATTGATAGAAATTGTGACTGATGAGGAATTCATGTAGTTTACTGTACTCATCTCGCAAGTATTGTTGTGTATCGTAATCTAGTGCAGGAAGAGACGAGATATCCTGTTGCGACAATTGATTATCATAATTCTTCGTAAGGAGCTTTGGGTCAACTATGGGGGAATGTTGAACTGGAAATAACTTGTTTCTGTTTTCCTCTGTAACCAATACATTCTGTGGCACCACTGGATTGACTAGCTTTGGTTCGGACTTACTATTGTCTTGCCTCGCTTTCGTCTCCATTGACGGAACTTCATCCTCTTTATCCGAAATGGAGCTTGGCAAAGACTGCAAGTCCAAATCTGAGCCACTTTCCGATGAACCACCATCCAATTTGGAATCCAAATCAGACGTCCTGATTTCAACATAGCGACCTTTTTCATACACAGCCCCTTGAATTGGTGGTAAAAGATTCTCCCAAGCATGGTCTATTTCGCCAATTCTAAAACGCTTAAACATCTTTTTCGTTTCTGGACCATGATAAGCATTCATTTCGTCAGTAGCATCTCTACCTACCATGTGATAAACTGCCGTGTCCCCACCTGGATGTTTCGATATCCATGATGTTAGATTCAATACCAGTCTGTCGTAGATTACAATCACTTTCCCATCAGCTATGAGATCAACAACGTCATTTCGCGACAAAATCTTTGGAACCTTGTGTGATGTCATTGTGTAGTATATGATCTCTGACTGCAAGTTAATGTGTCAAGAAAAGAAAAGGGGGAAAAAGTGTCAAACTTTGATACGCTCATATGAGGGTGATTCCTCGTCTAGAACGGATTTGAAGGTGAACGGAAAAATTAAAAAAACAAAAAAAAAAACAAAAAAAAAAAGACACCACGTGATTATGCAGATGGCGCGTTTTTGTATTGGAGCACATATAGCACAGTCGATAATGATTCATGAAATTAAATGTCTAGTAACATCTATTTAACAACTCGTATGTAGCTGGGAAAAAGAATGGTATCAAGTAATTGTCATTAAGATTGGACGTGCCTTCTAACAAACCAGCCAACAAGACTGTGACAATCAAGTTCTCCCAATTGGCTATGGGTATGTAACTCTTGTTTCTAGCATTCACATATTCAACGAGATTGATGGCACTTAATACACCAACAATAAATGCAACAGTACCTTGGATCGATTTTTCACTTCCTTTCCATTTAAATGACCCAAATTTCTTGCCAATGACCGAAGCCAAAGTATCTCCAACTCCCAACGATATGGGTCCAACGTACCTTATCATAGTTGTATTTTCTCCATTCACAAGATAGTCGTAAACAACTGGTGTGGTGACCCCCACAAGTAAATAAATATACGACAAATTCAACGGGCCCTGCTTGTCTTTTGAATCTTGGAACTTGTCAAGCACTTTGTACAAAAATTCACCAATAAAACTGATTTGGTTGAGCCTGAGAGCCTCAGCTATTAAAAACACAATGACCATACCGAGTAATGCAATCAAGGTAAATTGTGTCTCACCAAACAAGATCTCTGGGGAAAACGTGAATGCAAAAATCACATACAAATGCCAGATTTTTCTTCTCACATTCAAACTGACCGAATCAGCAAGAAAGAAAACCAATGGTATCACAACAACTGCCAGACTAACCCATACTTTCATCAAGTAAATCTTTTCTGCATCGTTTTCAATATACTCCAACAACCAAAGCAAAGCGTTTTGACCAACCACATGGTTCAACTGATATATTGTCAAGTAGGAGAATATACCTCCAAACACAGCTATGTTTATCAATCCTGGTACAAACGTGTAAACAGGATATGCAAAAATTCCGGTAACGATAAAGCTGATTAGCAACTTTTGAAATATTTGTAAAGGTAAAGTTTGTCCAACTAGCTCATGATTGAATAAAATATTCACAACTAATAGGCAAATTAACTGTATTTCTGACTTCTTCAAAGACCTCTTGCCTTTAGCAACGTCACTCTCATCCGTAGCCTGCACGTTAAGATCATTGATATAATTCAAAGCAAAATTTACAAAAAAATGAGCTGAAGTGATCTGAATAAACTGAAACGTGTCCAACGTGGCTTTTGAGTCTTCTTTGTAAATTTCAAAGAAAATCACACTTGAAATCAAGTTGAAAATCGGATTCATTTGATCAACAATGTAGTAGTTGAGTGCACAATTGACAAGAATCCAATTATGGTTAAAATGAACAATATCAATCAATGACGGAATCAACACACAATAAAAGTAGTTAAAGTCGGGGACATGAAGTTTTTCCTGTTTGCTCTTGACTATACTAAGCACCGTACATGCAACCACACCAATGCAACTGAAGCAAATCATTGGTAGTGTCTGTTTCAAGTGGGGAAATTCATCTTGTTTCAAGTAAATCAATTGCACAAAGAACCCAATGACAAGCAACTGTACCCCCTTTAAAAGATTGACATGCTCATTCAAAAAATCTTGAAATTTGTAGAGGTAGTTAAATGGGAATGCGGCATTTGCAATGTCTTCTTGAGCACTTCCCACTGGTTCATTGTCGGTTTTTTCCTCAGTCGGTGTATTCTTCTTGTCCTCTTCTTCAAAAAGCGCTGGATCTGCATTCTTGAATATCGAGGCAGTAGACCTCAAAGTTATATCCTCTTCCTTGGCCGAGGTCCTCTTGGACCGGTTTCTAGTTCTCGCCATAGCTCTTCCTACGGAGAGATAAAGAAATCAACGTTTACTATTTACGACAAACAAAATTACTTTTTTTTTCATCAATTTCTTTTATTTCTCTACAAAGATCTTATTGTATGCAGTATTGTCCATTCGCAGCCGTCTCTTACAAATTATAACATGTCATTGAAGATACATTATATCATATACACCAACACTGTCAGTACTTTCTCATAAGAAGTATCTCAATCCTTCCCTCCCTCCCCCTCCCTTGTTTTCAAAATCAGTCATACCAATAAACCCATCCAAAACAGCTTGTTCTGCTTGCTCTTGAGTCGGGTTCACCCAACTCCTTATCACTCAAACTATTTCTTCTCATGTACACCAATCTGATCAAAATAGCCAACGCCATGATACCACAGTAGCTTGTCAACATTCCCATGATGCCACTCCTGTATTTTGGAGCTTGATCAGCATAAAAGATATTGGCTCCAGTAATGTTTCCTGCTGCGTACATCAAAAACCATAACCCATTGGCTATCGTCTTTTTCGAACTCCCCAAGACATTGGCATTCAACAAGATCCAACACATGATAATTGGACCTCCAATGATGTACTGCAAGAACGAACACCCAACTAAATCCCACCTTTTTTCCAAAGGTATTGTTTGTATGCCAACAAACCCACCTAGCGGAGCTATGCAAAACACAAATAGCACAATACATCTTGTGTATTTTTCACCCTCAAAGCAATGAAACCACCCACAAGAACAAAGACCAATTCAATGGCACCCAAAGGTAATTGCAATGCTGTAGCCTCAATTCCTGTAAACCCAAACCCTCTGATCAAGGCGGAAATAAAATTCGACGATCCACCGTTGATCACACCACTTGCCAAACCAATAGCACCCAACATCAACACCGTAGTATCTTTGAGCGCTTCAAGGGCCTGATGCATTTGGAATTTTTGGCGCTTGACACCCTGGTTATTCTTGGCAATATGTTTCATCAAAACGGACTTTTCTTGCTCGGAAAGAAACTTGGCTGCTTGAGGTGAATCAGAACAGAACCAAAAGAAAATTATTGACCACACAAAGTTGACTAATCCAATAACAAGAAAGATAAGTTGCCATTGAGTAACTGTTGCATTTTCAACGTGTCCCAATCCAAAAGCCAATAATGCACCCAACATTATTGCAATTCCGTTGAACGATAAAAACAAACACATCCTAACAGGTTGTTGCTGGATGGTGTAAAACGAACCACAAATCATCATACACGAAGGGCTGATACCGGCCTCAAACATACCCAACAAACACCGAATAACAAAAGCACCGGGGTAATTTTTCAATCCAACGTGGCCTATCAAGATGATCGACAATGAAAAAAAAAAAAAAAAACATGAACGAAGTGTACTTGGCAACGGGTAATCTTTGAATAATATAATTTCCAGGGTGGGCCCAGAATAAGTATCCGAAATTGAAGACAGCTGCAACCCATGAATATCTTTGACCCTCCAAGCCCAAATCTTCAATCAAAGTGTAAGCGGAAGCATAATTTAGTGACAATTTATCTAAAAATTGAAGCATATAAGTAAAACATAACAAAGGAACAATTCTGTAATGTAACTTTCGAACAATCTTTTTGTAAATTTCTGCATCGTCCTCTTCAGACACCTCTTGGGCTCTTTCGTAAAGTTCTAAACCAGATTTGTTGATGGAACTAATGTAACCTTCTGGAATTGTCTCTAAAAGACGATGGCCATGATCTTTCTCAAGATCGTCGCTTATCTTGTCAGACAAACTCATGATGGATGACTTGAAATAATTGTAGCAATACCGGTAGTGGCCAAATCAGGTACGTATATATGTGTATATATATATATGAGACGGAACTTATTTCGAAGATCGTGGAAATGGAATTGGAACACCGAGACATCTAGAACGAAGTGGCGATGACTTCATGTGATAAATCTTCATCCTCCCTCCCACATAGCACATACACGTCATACTGTGATGATTTATTATATGTTGTGGGAAATGGGATGAGATTTCCCATTCATATCAATCGCCAATGATTTGGAGTGTTTGTGAGGAACATCTTTCTGTAGCCTTGTCGTGTCAAGAAAAAATGCACAACCATTTTGAAAAAACATTCATGTTATCAGATTCACTTGTCATTTGTTTATATTTTAAGCTTATTTCCTTGGATATACTGGGTAATGCAATAAAGATCAACTTTTTTTTTTCTAACAAGTCAAGTGCTCATGGCGCATATTTCCTGTTATGTTCCAAACTTAATATTTTGGACTCACTTGTGTATAGATTCTTGGCAAACAATCGCTCAATGATTGAGATAATCCTCAGAGCCATAACAATATCAAGATAATACCAACCTCGTATTATATAGTGATGACCATGTGTGATGTGAATTTATGATCGGATACTTCTGTGTAGCCTCTTGAATGCTTATTGAAGGTCTCATGAATATTCTACCACGATCAGTATCAGCAATAGATCACGATGTAGAATATCAGCATCACTAATGAGTATCAAGGTTTTTCACCGACGCCCTTGGTCCTACTCTCATAGTTGAACCAGCAACACAGATGCGGTTTAAAAAGGATACGCGTCTAAGTACCAAAAACAGAAAAGGCAGAAAAATAAAAACTAAAAAACTAAAAAACAAAAAACAAAAACAAAATCAAGTAGACAACATCAATCAGTCTTTATAACCAGTCATTGGATAATGCACATTAAAAAGATAGCCATACAGGGCTTCAAAACTTACAAGAATGCTACTGTTATTGATGATTTAAGTCCCAATTGCAATGTTGTTGTTGGCAGAAATGGTTCAGGAAAGTCAAATTTTTTTGCTGCCATTCGATTTGTACTTAGTGACGCGTACACGCACATGACAAGAGAGGAAAGACAAGCACTAATACACGATGGATCAGGTACTGTTATGTCTGCTTATGTTGAAATTGTTTTTGATAACACTGACGGCCGTTTCCCCATTTCCAGGTCCGAGATCTCCATAAGAAGAACTATTGGTATGAAGAAGGACGATTACTCATTGGATGGGAAATCAGCTACAAGGTCCGACATCATGAACTTATTGGAGAGTGCTGGGTTTTCAAGATCAAACCCGTATTACATTGTACCTCAAGGAAGAATTACCAGCTTGACAAACTCCAAGGATCACGAGAGGTTAACCTTGTTGAAGGAAGTTAGTGGTGCTTCTGTTTTTGAGAGTAAATTAAAGGAGTCGATGAAGGAGATGAACCAATCAACTTTGAAGAGGCAACGAATTGATGAGGCCTTGGATAGTATAAATGAGAAAATCAGTGATTTGCAGATTGAAAGTGACGATTTGAAGGAGTTTCAATCATTGGAGAAGCAAAAAAAAGTGTTGGAATACAATATTTTTGATAGGGAGTTTAATGAATTGAATGAGTCAATTACAGGATTAGAGGAGAGACACCAGCAGTTGATGTCTGATTCACAAAAGGATTTGAGCGAAATGGAGCAAAGAGAAAAATTGTGTCTTCAATTACAAACATCAATCAATGAGTTGAAAGTGTCGTTGAAAGTATTGCTTTTGGAGAAGGAGCAGACTGATTTAGACTACAATCAATTGTTGAAGAGCATTGCAGAAAAGGAAATCAAAATCAATGAGTTGAGGATCAATTTGGATACAGCTGATGACAAGTACAGTGACATTGATGAACAGATTGAGACTCATCGCCTACAAATCAAGCAACAATTAGACTCAATTGCACAAGAGAAGCCTCGTTTGGTCGAGATGCAGAAGCGGGAATCAGAATTGAAACAGCAGTTGGGCGAGTTGCACTCTAAACAAAGAGCTCTATATTCTAAGCAAAACAGATTTCTGCAATTCGACAATAAGCAGAAACGTGATTCTTGGTTGGCAGACGAGATTTCCAAATTGAAAAAACAGGTTAAGGAGAAGGAGCAAGATATTAAGCATGTTTCGAAGGAGCTCAAATCCAAAATTGGTGACGAGAAAAGTTGTTCTCAAAGGATCAGTGAATTGGAGCTGCTTTTGAACGATGAAAACAACAGCGTGCAAATATCTACATTAAAGAACAGCATTCAATCATTGAAGCTGAAAATCAGTCAATGTGTAGACAAAAGAAAAAGTTTGTGGAGAGACGAGATTCGTTTAAAGAGTGTTTTCGACTCCATTACTAACGACTTTAACAATGCATCAGATACAGTCAACCGAACCATGGATCGCGCCCAAGCCCAAGGGATCGCGGCTGTGAAATCAATTGCCAAGAAGTTGAATCTCGAAAAAAACGTGTATGGAACGGTTGCAGAATTGTTTCAAGTTGGTGATAAATACAAAGTTGCTACAGAGGTTATTGCTGGGACGGCATTGTTTCATGTTGTTGTTGACACTGATGCCACTGCTGCTTTGCTTATTGAGGAATTAATTCGAACCAAAGCAGGCAGAGTTACATTCGTGCCTTTAAATCGTATTGAAGATACACTGGTGTTTGAATATCCTGACTCTCAAGAAAATCAATGCTTGCCGTTGATTTCGAAACTCAAATATGACCACGAAACTGTTGGAAAAGCAATGAGTCAGATTTTTGGGAAAGCATTAGTTGTAAATGAGTTGCAAAGAGGTGCTGAGCTTTCTCGTAAATTCAAATTAACGTGTATTACGTTAGATGGTGATAGGGTTGACACCAAGGGGGTTTTGTCAGGTGGGTATCGAGACTTCAAGACATCAAGAATTGATGCAATGAAATTACAAACCAAGAAAAGAAACGAGTTGGTCAAAACTGAAGCGGAAATAAACAAGGTTGGCCAAGAAATATCCAATGCTAATCAAGAAATGACAAATTTGAATAACGAGTTGCAATTAACCATTAGAGATTTAGACAATTTGGAGAGAGCAAAGGAACCGTTTGAAATTGAATTGTCGCAGTTGAAAGCAAAGAAGTTTAATCTCGATGAAGAAGCTTCAGTGTTGAGATCAAATTTGGAGTCATTACAATCGGCAAAGGGAGTCTTGAGCACCAACCAGAAACAATTTGAAAGAGAATTGAATTCAGATTTCACTGATTCATTGAGTGAGGAAGAAGTTTGTCAACTTGAACTGTACAATAATCAAATCACAGAGATTGAGCATGAGTTGGATGATGTTGTAACATCAGCATTGGAGTTGGATACAAGGTTAAGTGAGTTAGAGAATGACGCCGAGAGTTTAAGGTTGAACATGAACCTCTTGTCACAGGAGAAGCAATCACTAGGTGATAAAGACTTGCTACAGCAGGAGTTTGATGAAATTAGTCAAGAGATGGAGGATTTGCAGATGCAACTTGACACGGCTCAGTCACGCATGGACCAGGCTAGTGGCAACTTTGTTCAAATTCTGGAAGAAATTAGTGAAAATGAAAAGAGCTTGCAACGGGCCAACGAACAACAAATCACCACTTTAAAGGATTTTGAAAAATTTTCAAAGTCAGCGACAAAAGTATTGAATTTGAAACTGATCAAAGAACAGACTAGAGATGAAGTGAATAAGAGGATCAGAGAGTTGGGAGTGTTACCAGAAGAAGCATTCCAACCAGAGAAGTTTGACAAGTTTAGTTCAAATGATTTGGTGGGGCAATTGAACAAGGTGAATGGCAAGTTGACAAAGTATTCTCATATCAATAAAAAGGCCATGGAGCAGTATAATCAGTTTACAAAGCAGCGAGATGAATTGAATGCAAGAAAGGAGGAATTGGACGAATCAAAGAAATCGATTGAAGAGTTGATTGCCAATTTGCAACAGCAGAAAAAGGAGGCCATTATGAGTAGTTTTAAACAGGTTGCCAAAGCATTTCATGAGATATTTCAGAAATTGGTGCCACAAGGGGTGGGGTACTTGGAATTGCAAAAGAAGAATGTCAAGGATACACAATCGCAAACGCAATCGCAAATGCAATCGCAAACGCAAACGCAACAGCATGACGAAGATGATGTAAGTGAAGGGGAAGAAGGAGCCGTAAATGATTCCATTGACAACTACACTGGTGTATCAATTTCAGTGTCGTTCAATTCCAAAAATGATGAACAACAGAAGATTGAGCAATTATCAGGAGGACAAAAGTCGTTATGTGCAATTGCACTAATATTTGCCATTCAACACTGCGACCCAGCGCCATTTTACTTGTTTGATGAGATTGATTCAAATTTAGATACTCAGTATCGCACTTCAGTGGCATCCCTAATCCATTCACTTAGTTCAAACGCACAGTTTATATGTACTACATTCCGTTCAGAGTTGTTGTCATTGGCAGGAAACAAATTCTATGGGGTTGTATTTAATAATAAAGTGAGTTCAATTGTGGGGATCAATAAGGAGGATGCCGTGAATTTTGTGGAAGGGCAAGCGAATAACTGAATAGAAGAGTGGGATGTCGGTAAGTACTGGTTCTGAATGTAAAGAAGGTAATGCAGTTGCGAGGACTGTCAATCTAGATGTAGAAGGAGTTAGGAGTTAGGGCTTTACAAAGAAAAGAATACACAAAAATACTGTACGAGATCGGCGTCATTTCCGTCCTCCAGCCGTACAAATTAGTGTACACAAAATAAAAGTTTACGAGAGGGAGCGCTACCATATGATTTTTTGAGAGGGGGGTTTAAATTAGTCATCAAAACAATGCTAAGTTAACATGCAGATCATTTACTATAATAAACGATGTGAGACGTGTAATACCTTGGGAGAAGTTTAGTCTAGCAAGTCATTTAGTGTGTTTGTGTGTGTGTGTGTGTGTGTGTGACTCACTTTATCCAGTTTTCCTCTTACCGCTTACTAATTGGATGAAGGTAATATCATACATTATAAATAGGCAGTAAAAGTCTTCTTTTGGATTCAACTTTGAGAGGACAGATTAAACAAATAAGTATCACATCCAATCATGTCAGAATTAAAGAAAACAGAATCGAGCAATGTCTCAATCAAATCGACAACGTCAACACTTGCTTCAGTCAAGTCGAAACTTGGCAAATTGAAAACTAAGATGCAAAGGTCCAATGAGCAGAAGAGGCCGGATAGGAAAGAACAGACTTCTATGAGAACAATCACTGAGTATTTGGCAATGAAGGCATAGACTAAGATGAATTGGTGCAATTGATTGAGGATGCTATTGGATGTACGTTTTTGTTGCAATTTGAATAACTCGCGTTAACACGCGTCGCTGCTTTCCTTTATGCGAAAGAGTATACTTCTTTGACGGTTAAAAAACTAGCTAGAGACTCGACTGAGTTGGAGAGAAAGACTTTGGTCAAAGTATTCATTTTCAGTCTCCTGCGTTGTTGCTGGGAGCTTTCTGACATTGCTTTTGTTTGCACTTTGAAATAAGTGCACGCCGGTTCTGAGAGCATAGATGCTTTTAGATAGTTTAGATCAAAAGAACCTCAATATGAAGTTTTTCATCGATATTGTATGCTTTTACTTCGTGTTCTATAGAAATTAGGTGAACTTTAACAAATGTTGAAATTTAGTAAATGTCGTATAAAGCTTTTTCTGTAGTATTATTTGCAATCAATCAGTGGGAAGCACCAAAAAGCACATCCCAATGTAGTAATACCTGCGGCTCAGAGCTACATTTCGTCTGGCGTGTGTACACGACCATACTCTTTTATGAATGGAGAAAATATTATCGATGACGTATTTCTTTCCTTGATCTTACAACGAAAGAAACTTTACAGGAAAATTACGTTGACAACCCGATATCCAACACCCTGAAGGAATTTGTCTCTCTGAAAGTAGAAGCTAGACGAAAGCTCGCCAAATCCAGAATCGCGTATATCACACGAATTGCTTTAACTCCGCGTATATGGTGGATTGCAGTAACAAGGCTTTAAATAACGAAAAATTGGGAGCCTCATTTTGCACGATTTTGTAAGCTGCACACAAGCAGATGACGAGAAAAAGAATGGATGTGACCAGATGGGAGGCTAAGCGCAATCCTTTTGATCTACTATTAAAGTGTATTTAATCCAATTATCTTTTGACATGTGTCTTATATTTCCGGTGGTCTATAAATAAACTCTTCTTCCTCTTCTTTACAAGGCTGAGTTTTGGTGTTTGCTCTTTTTGTGTAAAGTTTTGTGGTAGTAGTTACGTAATCCATTTTTTGTTTCTTATTTTTATTTATTTTTTTGGCCCGACTGACTGAAATTTTCTCATCGAATCAACGACATTTATAAAACCCACAACAATTGGTCCATCGTTAATCGAATTTACGTTGTCCTAGACATTCAAGTCGTCTGCTGAACAACTTGTCATTGATAAAAGATTGAAAAAGAAAAAAAATGGTATGTGTTTGAAAACTAAGAAAGATGCTATATCTCTGGATAGTTTAACAAAGCGATTCACGAGTACTTGTCCAGGCGATGTTTGAGAGAGAGAGAGTCGACTCAGTCTTTTATGTGACTTCCAAACAAATCATCAAGATTGCCTGTGAGCTCAACAGCGATACTTTCAAGAAGATAAAGCACCCCTCAACTTATGCCCCCAAGTTCTGTACTAACTTTACCCCCCTCTCCACCCCCCTAGTCTAACTACTATCAACAAGGTCCACCACCCCCACAAGGAGGCTACTACCAACAAGGTCCACCACAAGGTTACTATCAACAACAGCAACCAATGTACGTTCAACAACAACCACAACAACGAAATGGGGGATGTTGTGCCTCATGTTGTGGATGCTGTACTGCTATACTTTGCTGCTGCTGTGCTGAAGAATGTGCAGACATGTTGTGTTAAGAGGAGCAGGGTGTATCTGGAAGGAAGGAAGTAAGAAGGCAGTTGCAATAGCAAAGACTGGAAAATAAAAAGTTGGGGAGAGTGTACGATATTGTGCTTAGAGTGAATTATAATGTAGAATTGGTACCTATTGAATTCAAATATTTAATGGTTTAAATTCAAACTTAAAAACTATACAAATTTTATACAGTTGGGGAGAGGGGGGTGTCTCTCTTCTTCTAACGAGCTGTAAATCCACCTGAAGCAAAGATATTTTGACCTGTAATCCAAGTACCTTCGGTGACCAAGAATCTAATGATAGGAACAATGTCACTTGTGTGAGTCAATTTACCATGTAATCCAACAGTCTTGAAGAACTCAACACTTTCCTTTTGTTCGGAGTTGATCAAGAATGGAGTCTCCATTGGTCCAGGGCTGACACAATTGGAAGTTATACCTCTTGAATGTAACTCCTTTGAAGCTGCTTTCGAATAAAACTCAACACCAGCTTTGGTTCCTTGATAGCCACCATAGTATTCAGTGTACGCAGCTAACAAGGAGGTAGTCAACGACACGATTCTTCCATTGTCATTCAAGTTCAAACCTGCCTCTTTGATAAAAAAGAATGCAATCTTGTTATTTTTCAAATCCAAAGAATCAAATTCTTCTTCTGTGAAATCAGTGATTGGCTTTTTGATAACTTGTCCAACATTGTTGATAGCAATGTCGATACCTTTTGGGAAAGCAGATTTAGCAGCTTTGAATAGACTGGCCAAGTCTTGAGCTGATTTCAAATCACTTTGATATATTTCAACCTTGATGTCCTTGTGTTGTTTGGCCAACTCAGCTTGAAATTCTTTGGCTTCTTCAGGGTTGGATCTGTAATGCAAGAACAAGTTTGCGCCTAATTTGGCCAATTCCTTGGCAGTGTCACCACCCAAATTTTTGGTTCCGCCTGTGATTAAAGCAGTTTGTCCTTTGATTTGATGTTGTGGAGCTAATGAAACAGACATTGCGGTATAGTAGTGAGGAAAGTAACCCAGTTCAGTGAATGAACCTGGAATAAGTCAAAAGGAGAATAATCGCCACGTATTTATACCCCCTTCCCTTTTCCCCCTTCCCCTCCCCCCTTTGTTTATGCTGGAAAAGCAAGCCCAAAAACTGTGGCAATTTGACTCCGCAAGTTCTTGTCTCCCCCCTTTGTCTTCTTCTGCGGCATATAGTACATGTTTGTGTCATATTCCAAAGCGTTTATTCTTAAATTTTTGTTTTTTGCGCAAAGTTTAAGTTTTAAAGCAACTGAAATTCTGACTTTACTAACAATTCAGGATTTAACAGTAGACAAAACACCTTTGACTCGGAGTTAACCAAATGGAAAATCAATTTTTACAACATATAGCATTTATAGGGTCACACCTCGACTATCCTTTCCTGCAAATAGAAACATCTAGCCAAGAAAAGTAGAGAACACTTGAAACTTGAATCATCAATTTAGCAACTGACTTCTCATTTACCTACTGCTGAAATAAATTGTTAAAACCGATAAATCCCTATTTACAAGACTCTTTGAAATTTCACCACACAAGACTGCAAAAACTTTCAGACTCATCAGATTCTACTCCCTCTCTTTTAGTTCAAACCAGCACTTACACCGGCACCACAACACAAAGCAGTCAAGAAAGTGCCCATCAAATTCCGATCACTAGTGGGCATATTAGCCGGCCCAGTACAACACCCAAAGCAACCTCCGCAACATAGATCTTGACAGCATGCACTACATTCGTTTTGCTTGACTCTGTTTTCGGGGTAGTTCAGTACGATATCAGATTCTTGATCAGATGTGGAAGATGCGGAAATTTGTCCATTTGTATTTGGTCTCTGACTATATGCCGGAAGCGAGTCCTTGGCTTGTTGTGGATAACTGGTGAGGTTGTGATTTAGTACCCCATCTCCCGCAGGGCCTCGTTGAGTGTATTGCGGTGGTTCCTTGGTTGAGTACTGTGTCGACATGAAGCTTTAGTAAAAGCGATTCGTAGAAAGGGTTTCTCCACTTCTCGATCGTCAAAAGCAAATACAGACGTCATACAAGATATAATGAGGCTGAGAACACACAACACACACACACTAACACACACACAACAGTGCAATACAAACTTCTTTTTTACATTCCTCTATACACTATTCCCCTCTATCCTACTTTCTCTTTTGAGAGGTTGAATTCTTTGGCAACTCCTTGATGTAAGGAATAAACTCAGGTTCACCAGGGATGTATTTTCTCAAAACTTCAGGAACAACCAAACCATCTTCACGTTGGTAATTTTCCAAAATACAGCAAATTGTTCTCTCAGTAGCACTCAAGGTAGAATTAAGACAATGAACGTACTTCTTTTCAGTTTGATTTTGTTGCTTAATACCACATCTGATTTCCAAGTTTCTTGATTGATAATCAGTACAATTTGAACAAGAAACCAATTCCTTGTATTCCTTTTGAAATGGGAACCATGCTTCTAAATCAAACTTCTTGGCAGCAGCGTTATTCAACTCTCCTGAAACAATACCAACAACTCGGTATGGTAATCCCAAAGATTGGTAAAATTCCTCAGATGCTCCAATCATTCTATCGAATTCTTCCCAAGATTTTTCTGGTTCAGTCAATACGAATTGTTCAATCTTCTCAAATGCGTGGACACGGAAAATACCCCATGCATCTTTACCATGAGAACCAGCCTCCCTTCTGAAGCATGAAGAGTAACCAGCATATCTAATTGGCAATTGTTCTTGTGGTTTTTCAAACCATTCTCCAGCATGATAAGCACTAATTGGTTGTTCAGAAGTGGCAATAAGGTACTTTTCATCTTCTCCATCAATGACTTTGTAAAGCTCCTCATCGAATTGGGACAACTGGGCGGTTTTAGCCATAACTTCTTTATTCATCATCACTGGTGCTTGCAATGGAACATAGCCCTTTTTCGACAAGAATGAAAGTCCGTAGTTGATCAATGCTTGGTTAAGAAAAACACCATAATTTCTCAAAAAGTATCCTCTGTGTCCAACAATTCTAACACCTCTCTCAGGATCATAGCCATCTAAACGCAACAATACTTCGTGATGCGATAAACTAGCTGGTGCATTAGAACCTGCAGCAACTTGTGCAGGCTCTTTGTATCCCTCAGGCTTCCAAGTTTTGATCAATTCATTGTTGGCCTCGTCCATCGAGTCAACAACCGAGTCATGAACCAAGTTCCCAATTTGATTAACTTTGTTTCTCAATTCCTTATCGGTGTTAGCTTCACGTTCTATGAGCTGCTTCTTTTCTTCAGTCAATTGTTCTTTCTCCTTGAGCAAATCAGCTGGGTCTTCTTTAGCTTTGAATTTTTGACCGATTTGTTTCTGAACTGCATTTAACTTCTTGTTGTGCTCATCCAAGTCGAATCTAATCTTGACCCAGTCTTTGTAATCACTAATGATCTCATCAACTAATTCTACCGATGCGCCTCTTTTCTTTTGTGAGACCTTGATCTTTTCTGGATCTCCACCTTTCTCAACTATAAATGCGTTGATGTCTAACATTGTCTAATAGGGGGGGAAGGATTGGGAATGTGTTTGTTCTACTTGATGTGATGCTGAAGGTGAAGTGACTGAAAAAGATTATCAGAAGGTAAAAAAAAATTTTTCTCGTAAACAGAAGGTAGCAGCAGAACATAGCTCTTTTTATCTTCAAGGTTGTGTGCGTAATCGAAATCCACAGGAAGTTTCATTCATTCAACAGATTAGCTGACTTTCTTGTACGAATATATACACGTTCCAACTATAGGTTAAGCGCTACTTACCCAATTACTCCACAATGACATGCAACTGCTTTTGCTAGAAACGAAATTGGGTAATATAACGCCACTTAAATTCACCTCCATACTTATTGATAATTACTATTCATCTCAGCTATATCAAACAGCCAAATTCGATGTCTTTCCTTCAAATTGTCATAAGAGTGCCCTGGTAAACAGCCTTGCGCTTGAATCCGTGGATTATCGGTTCTTGTTGAGTGGTTCAGGTGATTCATCAATAAAACTTTGGGACTTGCATCAACGAGATGAAGTTCGTAAAGAAAATGAAGTGGATGCAAAATTGAATGCCATCCATCATCCATCGAAATTTGACACTTTTGACTATGATAATCCAGTGACTGTGTTTTCTAATGTTGCGATTATGCCGGCAAGAGAGTTTCACAAGTTTGGAATATCGACAATTCAATGGTGGCCATTTGATACTGGGTTATTTGTATCATCTTCATTTGATCACACGGTCAAAGTTTGGGATACAAATGAATTGACACCTGTTTTTTCATTTAATCTAAACAATAGGGTTTATTCAATAGACGTATGTGGGGATAGTTCGCTAATTGCTGCTGCTAGTGATCAACCATTTGTTCGGCTCTTGGATATGCGATCCTCTTCCAGTGCCCATACATTGAGAGGTCACAAGGGTAAGACACTCAGTGTGAAATGGCATCCCATAAACCTGAACTTGTTAGCCTCTGGCGGGTATGATGGAGAGGTTCGAATATGGGATATAAGGAGAAGTCTGAATTTGTTGTGTCGATTGGACATGCTCACTACAAATACATCAAATTCTTTGTCTCGACAAGAAGCGAACCTAACACAACAATCAGTCAAGGCGCATCTGGGACCCGTCAATGGATTATGCTGGGATGAACTGGGAAGCACTTTGTTTACAGCTGGTAACGATGACAAGATTAGAGTATGGGATATGATTAGTACACCCTATCCACCAGTCAACAAATTGATAAATTTTGGGCCACTTACCAGAAATAAATATCCGCAAACAATTCCAATCTTGTTGAACCCCAGTGGGGAGAGTGAACTACAGCATCTTGTGTTCCCATCTGAAAGTGGAGAAGTATTGATTTTTCGAACTGTTGATGGGAAATTAGTCAATCGCTTGATAAGAAGAGGTACAAAGAATGTGGGAAGGACATGTTCAATGTGCAATGGTGGTCCATTTACAGCAACCTATTATTGTGGAACCGTTGATGGTGAAATATTGTGCTGGAAACCATTTTGGGACAAGATAGATCCAGAAGAGGTGCTAGATTTGGAAGAAGAGAAAGGAACAGGAGTCACATCAGATGACGGTGTTGATGTTGATGAAATACTCTTGAAGAAGCATACACTAGCGTTGAAAGCACAAGAGTTGAAGAAATCAATGGAATACTGAAGGACCCCTGTTGTAATATATTTAGGTTATAGATTTAAGCGAGAGAAAAAAAAAAAAAAAGAAAATTTTTGTTGAAAATATAAACAATAGAATGATATACATGATATTATGCACACACACACCAAAAGAGTTAACGTGGGCAGACACATAACACTTGCATGCAACAGCCCACCATCTCATCAATTGAGATCTATACCATCTACATACACCTCGTCGTATTACACACACACTGGTTGTGAGATTTTAAGCTGACGCGAGTGCATTTCAAACAGGTCTCATCACCCCAAACAGTACTTTCACGTCAATACTCCTTTATCATTATTTACAACCACTTGAACTTTGCATCCACCGACGACAATATAAAAGACTCCTATGGTGAAATTGAAGCTTCAGATACTATTAATCCCAGAGGAATTCTCCTCCTTGCCAACCACAAAGATTGATTCACTAATAGCCAAAAAGTATTTGCACTTGATAGATTCCACAAAACAGGTAGGCGAATTACTTGATGCAGTCGTTGCGCAATTTAAAAGACTTTATCCAGATGAACCGGTGGTTAATGTGATCAAGTGCCAAGATAAGAATCAATGCGATTTGGACCCAGATTACCAAGTGGACGATGTCTTTGAACCAAATGATGAAGTTAGAGTCGTTGTTGATAACTTGTATTTCAGTGAAAAGTTGGGATTTGACATACCCCCATCGTCAAAGCGGTCATTAAGTGAAATGGAAGCCATTGCGGCTTCTGAAATTGTTGCGACACCTTCACCAGCCAGAGCCAACTTACATCCGGTATCATCACCTGTGTCATTAGCACCGCCACCAACGTCGTACCTGAACAAGATTCCCAAAAAGAGAGAAGGTGAAGGCCCCGGTGGGAAAGATCAACTGCGCATCACATCAGGAATGTTGCTGAAGCCTCCTACTGCCAATGTGAGCCCTCCAAACAAGCTAGACAATAATGATAATGATTATTCTCCTCCTGAGATCAATTCTATGGAACTGGCATCAGATTCAGACGATGGTGAGCCAATCAACAATGTTGGAGGTCAAACTCCAAGATTTGGCAAATCGGTTATATTAGATATGGTGAAGAAGAGTGCGAAAAAGAAGCCAGCTTCTAGAGCTGACCCAATCATGAAGTCGTTACACATAGATACCAATGAAGGACATCCTTTTGATACAAGCAATGAGCACAAAGCAAACAAAAATGCAGGTCAAACAAAGACATCTCCAGCAAAATTGCCACCGACAGGAGCTCATGTTACTCTTGCGTATAAGAAAAAAGGAGACTCAGCACCCGCGCAAACCACGGCTGTGAAAGAATCCCGTAGAAGAGGTAGACCTCCAAGAGCCTCAAAGTTGTCCTCTCAGGCACATACAAATACTGAAACACCGAGACCCGTTGGAAATGCTAGTGACAAACTAGTCAACGCTGCATTTCCCACTTTCCAAGGCCCTCTGCAAAAAGTGTACGAGGAGAGAACAACGTCCAATATCCTTGACAGTCTTTGTTTCAATTTGGACCATATGTATGATCAAGTGGTCAAATACAGAGATGGACCCAACGGAAAGTTCAAGAAAGTACCGAAGCATTTTGCTGTTAGCGCATATTCTTGTCCATCTGTGTATACTGATCCAGTGGTTGATTTTCGGATTGATCTTTCTGGAGAGCTGAATTATAATGGGCCACTTCCATACCCTGTCAAGAGTAAATCCGAATTTGATCGAGAAAATGGTCTTCGAAGTCAAAGCTCGTTCATGAGTCCATTCGATAGCAATGGCATAATAGATGAAGAAGGATTTGAAGTGTCTGAAGCTGTTGAGATTTCTAGTGAACCTGGTTCTGATGATGACGACGATTATGCTTCGCTTGATATGAAAAAGGACGAGGAAGAAGAGGAGGACATTAAAGCTCCAAAGCGCAGATCTGCACCAAAAACACCAACAGCCGTAGCCGCTTCATTCAAAAAGAGTACATCCACACAAAGCACATCCAGACAAAACACTCAAGACAACTTACCAAAGGGACCACGAGCAATCACTAGTAGTAATACTCCATCTGGAGATGTTGTTAGAGGTCCAGTGCGAGACACAAAGCTGAAGAGTAAGAACGCCACAGAACTGGGAGCCAAAGACGACAAGTCAAAGCAAAAGTCCACCACCACTGCAAAGAACATAGCATCACCAAAGACCCTGCCCAAGAAAACTACAAGGCGAAAAAAAACCGAGTCTGTTACAATAGACTCTGATGATGACAACCAAGAGCCAACCAATCTGAAATCCCGGTATAAAGCAATGACCAATTTGTTTGCTAATGAACAGTTAGGAAGACATGTTTCAACAATGGCTGACACCCATCATGGTCACGAGAGTGAAGGACCAAAAAACTCGACTTTTGGCAGTTGTGCACCTCCAGCTCGTAACCAAGAAAATGAGGATTTGGGAGTGGTGCATGGTCAACAGCAATCGGCAGGAATTTTCAGTTCATTCGTCACTGATCTGAAAAAGGCAACTGAGGAATCCTTGACCAACTTGTTTTTTCGGGACCCTAAGCCTGGTAGTAGTGACGGTGATGTACGGATTGACTCGCCATTTGGCTCGGCTGATCCATCAGTATCACGACGAGTGTCAAAATCTGCATTTGGAGCTGGTGACGCATTTACCAATGAAGGAGAAGCCCAAGAAAGTAAGGTACCGGTCAAGCTGCCTGAGAATGGAGGCACCGATAACCTGGTGTCGATAAAATCACCTAAATTCCCATTACGCAACTTGCCCACAACTTTGGAAAGTCCAAAACAAAGTATTGGATCACAGGGTCTTCAGTTGTATGCCAGCCAAGCTGACGCGGGGAAAGAAGTAGGAGTAAGAGCGGGAGCGAAAGTGGAAGCGGATGGTGCATCCTCGTCTGGATCAAGTGATGTTGAATCAGTAATTGGCGACGAAGAAGAAGAAGAAGAAGAAAAAGAAGAAGTCGAACGTGCTGAAACGGGGGTGAGGCTTGTTGCTGCAGAACCAGAAAAACGGAAAGTTTCACCTGGGGTAGGTAAGAACACCTCACGTTTACTGACATTGAAATTATTGACCTCGATTGCCAATCAACGACTTCCCGGGTCATTCAGAAACGGGGGCCCACATTACAGCAGGACACATAATGGTGAGGAAGAGCCTACTCAAGTGAATCAACACCAACATAATGGCGTAAGCCAAACAAATGTAGGGTTCAATGGAGGAACAAGTACTTTAAATGGGTTTGGATCTAGTCAAATAACAAAGAGCTCCACTACTGGTGCTCCTATTGCCACCGCTGCTAAAAAACCTGCATTACCTACATTGACTGAGCTTGGAAGTCGAGGGGTTCCCGAAGTCAAGGAGATTGATGCTTTGAGGCTATACAAGGGAGACAACAAGAATTCAGATGAAGATGGCAACCACTTGGATGATTCGGATGAGGTAGAGTCTGTGGTTGGTGGTGAAAGCGATTTGTCATCGGACAGTGATAGTAGTGATGATGATGATGATGATGATGATGATGATGGGTCTGGTAGCCAATTGTTCTTGTCGAGTTCAACGATTGATGATAAGAGCGTTAAAAAGAGAATGAGAGCTAAAAAGAATTTGTTTACACGATGACGATGGGGAGAGTCGCTTGAGGAGATGGTGGACTAGATTACGTAACACTTTGCGTTTGTCTCCGTTGTAAATTTTGTATTATTCTCTAAATATAGTAATGTGATTTAAAGAATTCTTTTTTTTTTACTAAACTAAACTAAAACACCAGTGTGTCTTTTGTTTTGTTATCAAGCAACTTCTTTCTTTCCGTAAATGTTTCTACCCAATATGTTCATGGTCCAATTCTGGTACGTCACTTCGGGAGGTAATGTCCTAGTCATTACTGAAATCAACCGTTTGTAAATTTCCCTAATGAAGGACTTTGCAACTTGAGGCTGTTCAATCAACAATGCAGCCATATAGCTTTCGAAAAAATCCCCCAAGAATTCTTCCTCATAGATGCGTACTTCATCGGGGTCTTTTTCCTTTGGCAAAACACCAGATGTTGTGTAGGGAATCCATTCATCAGCAATGCGAGTATTGATTATGGGGTCGTTCAATCCTTGGTGCAAGTTGTAACATTTTGTCAATTTGGACATTAGAGTGTTAGTGGCGAGGATCATCTTGAGGAGGTTGTAAGTTTGAGAACTGACTTGGGCATCGAGTATGGATTCGTCATTACCATTAACGCTGTTGGTGTTGCAGCACAAATCAAAAATGAGTCTTGATGTTTCTTGAGCAAGAAAGAAATCACCCAACCCATCTAGGAACGAAATTTCTCTACGTACCAAGCCGTATTCACCGAATGATAGATCATAATTGTGGGACTGCATAGTCTGGGCGAATTTATGGCGAGGATCCAACAATAATCGATAAAACTCCTTGTGCATCAATGCCTTTACTAACAAATCTCTATTATGCAATCTTGGCAAAGGAGGTAGATATATTCTCTGGTTATAAGCTGGTGATATTGTGACAAATCTGCTGGAGCTGTTGTTGCGCGTATCAAATAATAGATTTTCCTGAATTTCCACTGTATTTATGTAATTCTGAAAAGTGGCCAATGTGAAGTTATCCCTTTCATCACGGATGATTCGGATATTATTGTGATCAAGTTTTCTCGCATTCATGTACATCTTGATGACATCATCCAAACATTCGTGAACTTCCTCTTCTTTATAATTTTGCAACATGTAACCAAAGACAATGAATAACCAATTGCGTAATCCAAAATGATGATCGCACACACACCAACTAGGCTCTTTTTCTTGCAAAATGGTGCTATTTGAAGTGAGGTAGTTCTTGAACTGTAAATGGAATCCTGACTTTTCGTCATTCAACTCCCTTTTCAAGAATGTTGATAAATCAAAGACAATCTCTTTGATGAATGAACCACCACCTATACAGAACAACTCCTTGAAGCGTCGGTACGCCGACACTCTAATGAAATCGCCACCTAAATTGTAGAAATGGTACTTCATGTGTCTATCTGAGTGAAGTAAAGTATTCAATGGACTAGGTATAAGAATCGAGTGTTTTGACTGTGCTGGGTGGTGGTGACGCGATGTGGTGTGCAAGTGGTGGCGCTGATCTGTAGAAGTTGTGGTGGCAGCAGCTGCACTTGCACTTGCACTTGCACTTGCTGGAATGTGGGAATCTGTATCCAGTCTAGTGTCGTCTATTGCTTTAACTTTGTTTCGTTTCATTGAAATGTTTGTATGTTTAGGCAATGGTCGAAGTCTGGCTGATAGCATGAATGCAGTAAATAGTGATAAAGGGTAAATGTATATGAGGATGTGTAGTAACTTGAGTCTCAGCTGATCCAATGAGTAATACAAATCACAACAGCTTTGAATAGGAAGGTAGAAATGAAATGACGTATGGGTTTATGTTGTTGTTTTGTTCTCAGTATTCCTACTCTCACCCCCTCGTGGGGAACATTACACAATGATGAGAAATTGTAAACACAACACAAAATGAATGTTTGCTGCTCTTATCTAAACAACACCATTCCAGCAAACGGTAGACAGTTGTATCTACACATGGAGATAGATTGGTTCTACCGTGTCAAGCCAAGAGCTCTTACTCACACAAGCTTCTTTTTCAAGGAAAATCCGACGTGTATACACTGTACTATGTATTAGCTTATCGATGAAAATACAATAGATAAGACAGTCGTGTATCAATGCTAATATATGACACATTTCCTGCACCAAAAGAATTGGCACTAATGCATTTTGAAAAAGTTGAGTCAATTATGCCGCTGGTTGAGGGGAGAAAGGAATCTGACTATATTTTTTATAAAGTTGTCGACGGTTATATTTGTCCACCTTGCGTCTGCAAATGACTCATAATCTGTCTTTTTGTTGCCTCAACTTACAAAGCAACAACAAAAAAACACGTGTGTTCAGGTCAAAGATGCTCTTCTTAGGCCAGTCCTAAGTGCTGTTTGTTAGTAACTTCATATAACTTCAGTCTGGAAAAATCCTTATATTGTAGGTGTATATTTTTATGACTGTTAACTCATCTTGTATTTTGTATCTCCTGTTGTTGTTTGCGTTCTCTCTATCCTTGTGAGTGCAATTTTGTTTCCGCGTCTACTCTTCCAATCTCAAAATTTTGAAAAAAGAAAAGGCTCTTCTTTCATAGTTTCTTTCACCAACAAGACAAAAATGCAAGGTTTTCAAATAATTGGAGATATTGAAAAAGATATTGCAAAAATTGGTCAAGAACTGCTCTTTGTGTGTCGAGTACCACGCCAGTGTATTTGCTGTTATAACAACTAAGACAACGTAGTTTTGGTCTTTACCAAACAAGCTACTCCCGAGATCTAAAAGATTTTCTTCTACTGGGTTTAAAGAAATCATTTTTTCTATCGTTGAACTTTTTTTTTTGCAAAGTTTGCACCCAAAAATCTTAAAATCATTAAGTCTCAAATTTTGTGAATGATACCCATGTGTTATGCAAGAGTAAGGTGGTGATACATCCCAGGAACTGAGCTGCTCTGCTAAATAGAAATTCTTTCTCTTGAATCAAGAGAATGTAAGAAAAACCCACTTTTTGCTTTTGTATAATATTTTCTAGCAAAGAAAAAAAAAAAAGTATAGGTAGGATGCAACTGGCAAACAGGTTCCTGAACAGGCCAGAGCCTACGTGAACAAGTTCTGCAAGCATTCTGGTTGGTATGATCTAACTGAGTAGATGAAACAGTCATAAAAACGTCTTTTAGGAATGGCTCTACATATAGAAGCGCAACCTAATGTGCCATAATTCAAAAAGTGAGGTTGTTTTACATGCACTTTTCTATTCTAAATATGTATCACATGACAATATTTAAGCCAGTGAGAGAAACCAGCAACATTCCAAAAGCAAGAAACAGCCTGCGTGGCGAAATGGTTATCGCTTTTGACTTCTAATCAAAGGATTCCGGGTTCGAATCCCGGCGTGGGTTTTATCTTTTAACAAACAGAAATCATTTTAGCGGCTTTAGCTCACCTGGGAGAGCGTCAGACTGAAGATCTGGAGGTACTGTGTTCGAGCCACAGAAGCCGCAATTCCTTTTTTTTTCTTTTTTTTTTTTATTACCTCTCATCTTTCCCCTTTTCTTACTTGGTGATGGGGTGGAAGGACACTTGATTTATAGGTCAGTTGTGTTACTTCTTGCGATGGGTTTCTAAAGTTAACGATTATCATTTCTACATAAAATTTTTTTTCTGGGTGCCTCAATTATCGGACACTTTCACAAACATAACGGGCATTGTCCTTTCAAAAACTGTTAATCACTTCATTGTAAACCTCATTCAACTCCAACTTTATAAATTGGCACAACTGGACAAACTCAACCTGTAAAAATCGAGCTAAGCTTTGATCCAAACATTGTAGATTGAAATTGAAATTTGTCAAATAGACGAAATTGAGTTCAATTTTAGACAAGTCTCGTAAACTGACTCCCACGACATGAGTGAAATTCTGTTGTTTTTGATAAACGTCATCCAACAACTTCGTGCATGTTCTTAAAGAGCCAATTACGAAGCGGTATGAGTTGTTTGTTGTTAGTGATACTGTTGCTAACAAAGTTGTTAATTTGAATAGGATGTATATGGAGTGGAGATAAGCTGCTATGGAGATGGATGGTGAGTATTGTTTGATTCTTAATAGGAATTTATCAATTGGTAAACTGGGGGTTTTGATAAGCTGGAAAACTTTGACTAGTTGGTCGGAATGGGTCTTGTCTTTTCGCTGAGCGTATTCAATTTCAGATAGTATTGATTTTGCAAAGTTGGTCTCGGTGGTGGGAATATTCAATTTGAAGGTTGTTGTTGTTGTTGTTGTTGTTGTTGTTGTTGTTGTTGTTGTTGCAGTCATAGCAACGGGAAGCTCTTCTTCTGATGAGTTGTTCACTTCGCTCAATTTGAATTGTGCGAGTAGCGTCTCGATAGGAACGTATTTTCCCGGAGACAGGCATTCACTGCCATCCTCTCTACTCCCGCTGTAATTAAAATTGATGTTGTCAATGTTTTCATCATTGAATAATACCTCATCACTGTCGCATTTGTCCAATACCATGACTTGGGGGAATTCATTGCCATTTGCATGAGATTCACCCACAACTGTCTTGCCTTCATCGTCATCAGAACCTATTGGCGAAGCAGCTTCAACTGAATCCGCTGAAGTTGATTTGCCACCCAGCTCATCCGTATTCAAAGTGGAAGTAGAAGAAGACTCTAGCGTGTTTGTGGATGTTGAGTTGGTGTGTGATATTGGTGGCGACATGATAGTAAAGGAGTCCGGATGAGTCGTAGCGGTACCATAACATTCTTCTCCATTTGATCCATCACCGATTCTTCTTTTCTTCAAGGTGCAGTAATTCTTCTTCTGTTCAAATTCTTCTTCTTCTTTGTGCAACTGTTGCAACTGTTGCTGTCTAAATTTGCGGAAAAGTGATGGATGCTGTTGTAGTATGACTGTGAACTTTATAAACAGGGAATAAATGTAAATGACATGAAGTATATGAATGTTGTTGATATTCTTTAACCCATTACTCAAATCAAAAACCAATTCTTCCAAGTGAATATCGCTTAATGAAGTTGGGTCATCAACAAATGTCTCACTGGGTGGTTTCAAGTTCGGTATTTCTTGAATATCTTTGATATAGTTGGCCATCGGGAGGAAGTTCGGTGGTTTTGTGATGATCGTCTAACAAATATTTCTAGTGTGAGTTTGGCGTATCTGGTTGCTATCTTGTTAAGAATTATGAAAATAAAAATCTAAAGCAAGTATAGTAAATGTAATTGAAGGATAGGTAGTGCTGTGCTGTAATACATATGTACCCAACTGAATAATAGTGGTAGACAAATGGATGATATGTGAAGGGAGAATAATTCCTGTTATGGTGATCTTCTTAACCAAGTTTGTATGATTTGATGGAAATATCTCTCCTCTTTAGCTGTATTGTTTTATTTAGTTTTAACGCGAGAGAATTAGTGAAGTAAAAAGAAAAGAAAAGAAAGAAGAAAAAAAAAAAAAAGGAAGAAAAAAACAAAACAATGTCGTAATTGCAAATGCGACACTAGACATATATACATTACCTTTTCCCCATTTGCTCTACTCTCTATACACCTCTATCATAATATTGCAAAACTATTCCTAATTCACAGTCCATATAGCAACAACCCTATTATCTGCTGTCTACACACTGTAATAAGTTGGAAAGATAACAAAGAAAACCACAATTCCTGCATGTACTTGTTTTTGCTGATCGATTGCGCTTTCTAAAAATAGTAAGATTGCGCACGACTTTAATCTAATTCTGATTCTGACCAGATACCTAAATATAGGCTTCGTAGTTGGGTTACAGTCTCAATGCAATAGTGGTAGTTGTTTAAGTTTTAAAAAGAGTATAATAACTTATTCCACGGAATAGAGTAGAAAGTTAGTCCATGGGAAAAGAAATAAGTATGCAAGTTGAAACACATACAATGTGCACAAGAGGGTAACAAACAATGTACAATAATGCATACCGTGGAGTTGCGCGATACTTGCAATGCAATGCAATGTAATTGCGGTGCGATGTGATGGGAATAGATAGAGAGAGAGAGAGAGGGACAATGGTTGTTTGTGTATTTACACCGTGGTTGGTGTATACAATAATATTACGCGTAGGTGTGTCTTGCACGTGTACACCACAAAATCAAAAGCACAACAATAAAGTTGCACGTGCAAATAGTAAAAGAGCATCAAGTTTAGGAGGTGGTAGTAGAAGAAACAGTTGATGTGGTTGAAGATGCACCCTACAGACAGATAGAATACAAGTAGAGTGAAAGTAGAGCCACAGTACCCCGTGATGATTGATATTATCCTGAGTAAAACAAATATACACAACCTTTCTTCTACAGTTTTACTTGTTTATTTATGTTATATGTGTATAGGCTGTGTTGTTGTTGTTGTTGTTGTTGTTGTTGTTGTTGTAGTTTGTTACACGACCTTTCTTTTAATTTTTAATTTTTAATTTTTATTTTTTTTTCTTTGTTACTAAACTACAAGTACTACTTCAATTCATAGTGTGCTAAATATGTTTGCAACAGCAAAACCGCCCACCCCCCCTTGAAAGAAAAATACTTACTACAGGCAACAATTTTTTTTTTTAAGATCACTTCGAAACACTCGAGAGCTCTCTAGCTTCAACCCCAAACCATACTTAACCTAAGTGAGCATACTACACAACTCCACTGTGTGCTACATCACTCGCTAATAATCTCAAACGTACCACCCACTCACCCCCCCCTTTGGCTGTGCCTGCCCTTTTTTTTTCTTTTTTTTTTTTTTCTCTTTTTCTTGTGAGAGATCATATTAATTTTATCGACCGATTATATCCCATCACTGGAAATAATTTTTAGCCAAGCCAAGTCAAAGCTAAGCTAAGCAAAGCAAAGCAAAGCAAGACAAGACAGAGACACAGACAGGGTTCAGACGACAGTATCATATTTATATTCCCTTCCAAAGATGCTACACAAACAGTTTCTGTCATTATTCACTACCATAACTCTACTATTATGTGTCTTCATCACTCCCACTCATGCTAGAAGAAAATTGTCGGCTTCGTCGTTGGTAACGTGTATGGAGAAGTCTCAAATCACACCACACACTTTTAATGTCACTTTTAACCCTGACGATAGGTCCTTGCGTTACAATCTTGACTTGAACACCGAGATTTCCGGTAATATTTTGGCTCATGTTCAAGTTTATGCGTATGGGTTCTTGATTATTGAAAGAGACGTCAACTTGTGTGATATTGGTTGGAAACAATTTTGTCCTATTTACCCTGGGCAAATTAAAGTCGACTCAATCCAATACATTAGTTCAACTTATACCAAACAAATCCCCGGAATAGCTTATCAAGTTCCCGACATTGATGCCGTGGTTAAAGTAATTGTTCGTGACCAATCTTCTGGTGAAAGCTTGTCTTGTCTCCAAGCTAGTTTCACCAATGGCAAAACAGTTAGCCAAACAGGAGTCAAATGGGCCACGGCCGTGATTGCCGGTTTAGGTTTGCTAATTGGTGCCATGTTGTCAACTTTTGGAAACTCAAATGCTGCTTCCCACATTGCTGCCAATGCAGTTGCCCTTTTCCTCTATTTCCAAAGTGTGGTGGTTGTGTCCATGCAAGCTGTTGAAAGAGTGCCACCCATTGCTAGTGCATGGGCTGAAAATTTGGCCTGGTCAATGGGATTAATCGAAATCAAGTTTATGCAAAAGATTTTCCGGTGGTATGTTCAACTGACTGGTGGGAAGCCAACAACTTATTTTATTGGAGAAACTGAACAAATCTTGGTTCAAAAGAACAAGCGATCCTTGGCGTACGATGCTCTTTATTTGAGTGGGAAAAAAGCTGTTGATTATGCCAAGCGATCCTTGGATTATTCGTTACATTCAAACACGTATTTGATTGTGTTGCGTGGTATTCGAAGAATAGGTCACAATACTCGTATTGAATCAACGTCTATCGTGCCCACTGGATACACCTGGTTTGTACTCATTGGCTACTTGTTGGTGGCACTATTGGTCTTTTCTAGATCAATTGTTGTCCTATTGACAAGATTTGGTAAATTGAATCCTCGCAGATTCTCCATGTTCAGAGCTAACTTTGGCAATGTTGTTAAAGGTTCAATTTTGAGATATATTTGGATTGGAGCAACTCAATTGACAATTTTTTCATTGTGGGAATTCACTAGAGTCGATTCTGCAGCTGTTGTGGTATTGGCAGTCTTGTTTCTTCTTTTGATGATTGTTGTATTTGGTTGGTCATTTTACAATGTCTTACGTATTGGCAAATTGTCTCAACGCAAATTTAACAACCCAGCAGCCTTGTTGTATGGTGAACAAAAGACTTTGGAAAAATACGGGTTCTTGTACACCATGTTTAATGCCAAATACTATTGGTTTGGATTGGTTTTACTTGGATACAACGTGTTTAAAGGTATCTTTATTGCCTTTTGTCAAGAATCCGTTGGTGGCAAAGTGTCCGTTTGGCCCATTTTCATTGCTGATTTGGTGTACACTATTGTCTTGTTTTGGCTCTCACCATTTTTGAACAAGCCCACAAATATCATGCATTATATGATTGCCATTGTCACTACCATCAATTCATTTTTGTTTTTGTTCTTTTCCGATATTTTTGGTCAACCAGCCCAAGTGGCTTCCATTATGGGATGGGTTTTCTTTATTCTCAATGCTGCATTTTCATTTGTGTTGTTGATTTTCATTATTGTTCTTTCATTGTTCTCAGTGATGAGTAAAAACCCCGATGCCAGATTTGCTCCTGCCAAAGACGACCGTTTCTCATTCCAAAGAAAATCTTCAATCAAAAACAAAGGTCAATCTGGTTACAATGTGTCTGAGAAGAGTGGTGGTGGGGCCGAGTTGGCAGCATTGGGAATTGCCGCCCAAGAACACGATGCCGATTGGGAATCCCAGATGTATAAGTTGCACGATGTTGGTAAGGAGGAGGGTGAGGAGGTTTCATCATCTACTGATACACCGGACCATATTAGGCCAAACCACAATCGCTTCAATAATAGCAATAGTGATGACATAATTGAGTCGGAATCTGTATACTCTAATGATCGTGCAGCTGAAGCTGATGGAGCAGCAGCAGCAGCAGCAGCGGCAGGAGGAGGAGGAGCAGGAGCTACGTCAACATTTGGTGAATGGAAGAACAAGCTTGCTAGGAAATTGTCAAAGAAAAAGAGTGACAAGAAGCATCATAGTGGCAGCAGCGAAGAAGCCAACATGACGAGAATCAGTGATACCCTCCATTACGATGATGATTATGAAGACGAAGAGGATAAATTGGACTTTACACGAAGCACTCACCAGCAACAGCAACAACAAGAGTTTCAGAGACCGGTTTCCAATCATTTTGACACTGTAGGTGGAGCTTTCAATGGACATGCACGTAATGGAAGCAGTACGTCGAATATGGCTAGATCAAATCCTACACACAAAGCAAACATTCTTTAAACTGGGAGAGAGAGAGAGAGAGAGAGAGAGAGAGAGAGAGAGAGAGAGAGAGAGAGAGAGAAAGAGGCTAGAGGCAAACGTAGATGGTTAGCAGAGCAAAACATTTTTCACATACTTGTATTATTAGACAATTCACTCCACTCATTGCCACGTAAAACAAGGAGGAACTTCAAGGGGACAATAACTTACGGTTTTATATTACATAGATATTCCTATCTAGTCCATTTCGTTAAACAATAAAAATATTGGATTTAAGCACGTACTTCTCTAATAGTGTATTCATGGAGCTTCTCAATCAAAGTCTAGTCTATCCCAATTAGATTCAATTTGTAGCAAAATACGATTGACGTATTTCTCATTGAGCGAAGCTAACCAATAGCTGACTTTTTGATCCCATGATAGTCCCTTAGACGAAGTTCCGTCATCATTGGAAGAACAGTTTGCGTGAGCCAGTGGTGATTGCGAATGTATATCAGTTTCATCTTGTGGAAAGTCTCCATTTTGTGTCAGTGTTGCTGATTGTACATCCTCTCTTTCATTCGCATTGGCTCGATTATACCCCTTGACCAACCCATTGAAATCAAAGGGGGCAATTAATTGGTTTAGGATGTTTGCCAGGTACGCCACTATTTTGCTGATCAAGTGTAGGTCGATTTCGTTGTAGTTGTAGTCTTCATTAACGTCAATCTTGTCTGCCCAGGATGTGTCAGCCAAAAAGGAGGCAAAGGCAAAGGCAAAGGCAAAAGAAGAAGACGAAGACGTGGAGGTGGATGTTGGCGTGGACAATGATGACCACATGGCGTTATTTGGTGAGGTTATGGGGAACCCAAGAATTTTTAGCGGGGTAGTGAGGAGGTGCAAAGGTTGTTGTAATAGTGTCCATGCGGCTGATGCTGCTTTCGAAGTTGATGATGGCGGAGCAGGTGGGGTTGGTGTGGTCAAGTATGGAATGGTTTGGATGAACTTTGGGTTGAGCAAGTGATGAAACTTGTTTTCAAACCATTGCTTGGTAGAATCTTCGGCAATGAGTGGTGCTATGGGTCTAGATAAATGAGTGTCGCATTTGATTTGGAAACTTTGCAGCACCATGAAGAATTCATTGTGATTTGACTGCAATCTTTGACCCAGGTGATGCAGATGGTGTAGCTGTTGCAGCAGACGGTGTTTATGATGATGAGCGCTTTGCAGATTTATGAGCATCGACTGTAGTATCTCGTGTTTCTGATCCAAGGGGATCAAGCACTCAAAAATTGCACCTACGAATGTGTATGGCATAAAAAATGAGATCTTTCGTTTGGCGTAACGTTTGTGTCTTGCCATTTTGAAACAGATCAAGTTGTTGATTTCTTGAGTTAGTGCGGTGTGCAATGGGGAGGAGGAGGATGATGAGGAATAGGCGAGGCGCCCGGTTGATTGCTGCTGCTGCTGCTGTTGTTGTTCTTGTTGGTTGCAATTATTGAAAGTTCCCGCAAGTTTGTCATATGTGTCGGATTGCAAAGACTGAGATGTTTCACCTTCTTGATGGTGTTGTTGGTCAATCTTGAAGGTGTTTTTGTTTCTCCCACTGTATTCAATCCATTTCCCATTTGTCAATTTCTCCATTGCTGAATCAAACTTCTTGCGCAACAATTGATTGACTTGACCGGATTTGTGTTTGACCATTTTCAAAACTGTGCTGGATACGCCTTGAGTTTGGTGATGACTATACAACTGTTGTTTTTGTTGCTCCTGTGATGTGGATGTATTCGTGTACCTACCTCCAACATTCACAAAACTGTCATAATCGAGTTCTCCATTCTTTTGACCTTGGCTCTTCAGTGGTGCTTTTACTGAGCTCTGATACTGATTCATTCCAACCACATTCTCACTAACACTTGGTTTCAATAAACAGAATGGAACATCCCAATCAATAAACTTGTTCGATTGAGTACGCAACACTTTTTTATAGTCCAATTTACCCTCATTGCAATGGGCTATGGTTAGGAAATGCATCGATACGGGTGGATTGTAACCTGATATCTTGTATTGACGTATGATTTTGAATCCGGTGAATGGTGGTTGTGTTGAGGTGGGATTACATATTTTGTGATGTTTAAAGAACCAGAGAGCGTTTGTTTGCTGAGGGAGAGTCAACAATAGTGAGATATGTAGTAGTAGAAGCAAAGTCTGTGCAGCTGCGTGGATCATTCTTCAAGGCTGTGCTGCTTGGTAAGTTAGAGTGTTAATATTTCTTTAAGCTTTTGGGTGATGACAATATATGAATTTTGTTTGTAATGTTGCAAATTTGCATAAAAGCAAAAGTGACACAAAAAGAAAAAGTGCTCCATGCCAAAGCGATGAGAAAAAAAAAAAAAAAATTCATAGAAGAACTCACGCATAATATATGCCTTCTTTTAAACCAACTGATCCTACTCCATTCATTCATCAACCAGGGTATGGAGCAACAGTCTAACAAGGCTCATAGAGGAGCCACCAAAAAAACAGGAGCCAAAAAGAAACTACATCAAAATGGTCAGAACAAAAAGGCATTTGCAGTAGCAGCACCTCGAAAATTGGAACGAATGGCAAGGAGGTCGCATGATGTCAATGAGCGAAAACTTCATGTGCCTATGGTTGACCGTACTCCTGACGAGGATCCACCACCAGTCATAGTAGCCGTTGTGGGTCCCCCAGGTACTGGGAAATCGACCTTGATCAAGTCATTGATTAGACGATTAACAAAGACAACATTGACGGAAATTAAAGGTCCCATAACCGTTGTGAGTGGGAAAAGAAGACGGTTGACATTTATTGAAGTCAACAACGACTTGAACTCGATGATTGACGTGGCCAAAGTTGCTGACTTGGTACTTTTACTTATTGATGGAAATTATGGGTTGGAGATGGAGACTATGGAATTTCTCAATATAGCCCAACATCACGGTATGCCTAGAGTATTGGGAGTGGCTACTCATTTAGATCTTTTCAAATCACAATCCACATTGAGAACATCTAAGAAGAGATTGAAGCATAGATTCTGGACCGAAGTGTATCAAGGAGCCAAGTTATTTTATCTTTCAGGAGTCATCAATGGTCGTTACCCAGACCGAGAAATCCTCAACTTGAGTAGATTCATCTCGGTGATGAAATTTAGACCTTTGAAGTGGAGAAATGAGCATCCTTATTTGTTGGGGGATCGAATCACTGACTTAACCCATCCACAATTGATTGCTGAAAATCCCAAATGCGATAGAAAAGTGGCGATTTATGGATATTTGCATGGAACTCCATTGCCTTATCAAGATGCCAATGTCCACATTGCTGGGGTTGGCGATTATACAGTTTCATCGGTGGAAAAATTGCCTGATCCGTGTCCAACGCCATATTTCGAACAAAAGTTGGAAGAGTTGGAAAGGGAGAGAGTTAAAGCTGCTGCCGAACTGGGAGAGCCCTTGGCCAAGACAACAAGAAGAAGGAAAAGATTGGAAGATAAGCAAAAGATTATATATGCACCAATGTCTGATGTGGGAGGAGTTCTTGTTGACAAAGATGCCGTGTATATTGATGTGGGTGATAAGGAAAGTTTCAAAGCTAATGGTGATGCCGAGGGCGAGATTAGAGGCGAGGGTGAAACTATGGTTACGAACTTGCAGGATGTGGGCAAAACGATGGCGGAGCGATTTGAAGAAGGCCCTGGATTACAATTGTTTTCGAATTCTAGTGCATTGAGAAATGAGGTAGTGCAGCAAATGGATGAGAGGGAGGAAGAAGAGCATGGACTTTTGTCTGATTACGACGATGACGAAGAGACGATAGTGGATACCGGTAGAACATCCATGAGAAAGGCAAGAGTGTATGGAAAATCTGTTTCAGAGGATGATGAATTTGACAATGCTGAGTCTGATCAAGAGGGCGAAGATGATTATGATAATGACGATGGAAGCGAGCCTAGATTGGTTGAAATTGATTTCGATTCCAACAAGTACAATGACAAGGAATTGGAGTATGTCGAAGACTCGGCACTTTCTTCCGATGACGATGACGAAAGTACGTACAAATCTGCAGCTGCTAGATTGAAAGGCTCAAGCAAGAGGAAATGGGATATTAACAAGTTGATCTACATGACTAATATTGACCCTGCTGATGCGATTAAGAGATGGATGGGCGAAGGCGATGGTGATGGCGATGACGAAGAGGAAGAAGAAGATATTGAACAAGATGACGAAGATTTCTTCAAAAAGAAGGATATAAAGGAGCTGAGTGAAGATTTGGACAACTCAAAGCCCAAGTTTGCCCCAGTGGAGGAATTGAGAAAGCGATTTGCAACATCCGGTAGTGACGACAGCGATGAGGAATACGAGAGTGGCTACGCTATTTTGAAAAAGAGGTTATTGGTTGCTCCTAAATTGGACAATGATGAAGAGGGTGAACAGAATGGTGAAGCAGGCGAAGATGATGACGAGGAGGAGTTGTATGGAGATTTCGAGGATTTGGAAGCTGAAGATGTCCAAAACTCAAAGAATGGAGGATCAAGCAAAGACGACGACGATGACGATGATGATGATGATGATGATGATGATGACGAGGACGATGGAGTTGATGGTGACGATTTCGCCGATTTTGATGCCGAAGAACAAGCCGAGGGAGAAGACGATGCTCTTGAACAAGAAGACGAGAACCTCACAGTTGAACAGAGACGTCAATTGAATGCCGCCAAAAAGGCCAAATTGAAAACTCAATTTGAGGAGGAAGAAGATCGAGAATTTGGTGCTGATGATCCAGAAGGTGACACCGAAGCTGAAACGTGGTACGAGTTTCAAAAGAACAAGATGGCCAAACAATTGGAGATCAACAAGGCGCAATATGAGGAGATGGATCAGCAACAACGCATCAAGATTGAAGGGTATCGTGCTGGATCCTACGTCAAGATTGTATTCAATTCATTGCCATGTGAATTTGTTGAAAACTTCGTACCTGAATATCCATTGGTTCTTGGTGGATTGTTGGCGACTGAAATGAGATTTGGTATAATGAACTCGAGAATCAGAAGACATAGATGGCACAAGAAGATTTTGAAATCACAAGACCCATTGATCTTGTCATTAGGTTGGCGTCGATTCCAAACATTGCCCATATACACCACATCTGATTCCAGAACTAGGAACAGAATGTTGAAATATACTCCCGAGCACGCTTATTGTTTTGCATCATTTTATGGACCACTAGTCGCACCCAACACTACATTTGTTGGGTTCAACATTGTTGATAACAAGTCCACCACGGGGTCATTTAGAGTTGCCGCCACTGGTATTGTTGAAGATGTCAATTCGTCAGTGGAGATTGTTAAAAAGTTGAAATTGGTGGGCCACCCTTACAAGATATACCGAAACACTGCATTCATCAAGGATATGTTTTCCAATGCGTTGGAGGTTGCCAAGTTTGAAGGAGCACAGATTCGAACCGTTAGTGGAATCCGAGGCGAGATTAAGCGTGCATTATCGAAACCCGAAGGATATTTCCGGGCCACTTTTGAAGACAAGATTTTGATGTCGGATACGATTTTCCTCAAGACATGGTACCCCATCAAGATTAAAAAATTTTACAATCCTGTTACTTCATTATTACTTAGTCATCATTCAGAATGGAAAGGTATGCGATTAACGGGACAAGTCCGTGCGGAAAATAATATTGCCACGCCATTACAGGATGATTCACAATACAAGAAAATCGAACGTGTTGAACGAAGATTCAATCCATTGCGGGTCCCGAAATCGATCCAAGCTGATTTACCATTCAAGTCCCAGATCCATCAAATGAAGCCACAGAAGAAACAGAGCTATATGAATAAGAGGGCAGTTGTGTTGGGTGGTGAAGAAAAGAAGGCTCGTGATTTGATGCAAAAGATTGCCACTATTAGAAAGGAAAAGGATGTTAAGCGAAGAACTAAAAAGGATGAGAAATTCAAGGAGAAATTGAAAAAGATTGTTAAGAATGAGGAGTTGAGGAAAGAGAAGGAGAAGGAGAGAAAGAAGGAATATTTTGCAAAAGAGGGTAAAAAGAGAAGGGCTGGTGATGAAGGTATGGAGGGTGGTAATAAAAGAAGGAGGTAGATACATATACGTAGCACACTTTGCAATGAACCCATTTCTTAACCTATTTAATCTTGTTTTTATTTAAATACGATACTCAAGTAATCTCTTTTGGTTTGATTCTTCCTTCAAAAGAACATCCTCCTCATTCCAAACAATCTTTATAACGTCGTAAAATTCACGAGCATAGTGCAATTGAATACCATATTTCTTCATATAAAATTTTTCAACGTCATTCATCTTGAACTCAACTTCCTCGTTATCCTTCAACAACCGATTGAGGAAATTCAAATCGTCAGAATCACCACCATCTTGGTGTTTAGAAGACGCACCCGCTCTCGTCTTGTTCTCCTGCTTCTCCTCCATGATGCTCTTGGAGTACTCCTCGATCAAATCCTTCCTGTTTTCACGAGGAACAATCATGCGCTTGATACCATGACTCAAATGCGCACCAAGTAACTTCTCCTTGACTCCACCAATAGGCAAAACCAAGCCACGTAGAGTGATTTCTCCCGTCATGGCAAAATCAGTCGGAACAGGCTTGTCTATCAAAACCGACAAAAACAGCAACGCCATGGTGACACCAGCCGAGGGACCATCCTTAGGTATTCCACCCATGGGAACATGCATGTGAATGTCCAAGTTGTTGAATTTTTGAAGCAAGGCCGAAGTGTTTTGTTTGCCTTGTTCTTGTTCATATTTGAGCAAGTCCTTGTAGATCATCAGTTTGATAAAAGTCAAGCCAATCTTTCCACTTTCCATCAACACTTCACCTAATCGACCAGTCATGTGTAAAGTGGCACCCGATCCAGAACCGCTGGAAGAATTGCCACTATCAGTGCCAGTTCTCCTGTCAAATCCAATACTTTCAAAAACCAACACAGAACCAGATCCCTCTGAGTTGTAGGATAATCCATTCACAACTCCAATTCTAGAATTGCCGATTGATGTAGACTCATTAGCAGTGAAGTCACCACTGGCGAATGGAACACCAAGATATATTGATAAATCATTTTCGTCAATGTGAGGATTATAGTGCTTCGAATCGTCGTTCAATTGTTCACAATACTCAACCGCCTTGAATCGACACAATGTACCCAATTTTCTTTCAAAGTTTCGAACACCAGCTTCTCTTGTATAATCAATGATGATTTTCTTCATTGCTGCTTTATCAATATTGACAAATTCTTCAACCTTGTGTTCGTCAGAAACTGGGAACCCATTACGTTTCACTTGTCTTGGCAAAAGGTACCTCTGTCCAATAATTAACTTTTCGTTATAGTCATACGCACCCATTTCAATCAATTCCAATCTATCCAAAAGGGGTCTTGTCATATTGTATGGATCATTGGCAGTACAAATGAAAATTACTTGAGACAAGTCAACGGGGAAACCCAAGTAATGGTCGATAAACGTACTATTTTGTTCTGGGTCCAACACCTCCAACAATGCTGCCGATGGATCACCATTGTATTTGGTGGCGCCCGAGTTCCCACCCACGACTTTATCAATCTCATCCAACAAAATTACTGGATTCATACAGCCAGCTTTACGTAAAGCTTGAATAATGAGTCCCGGCATGGCACCAACATATGTTCGTCTGTGCCCTCTAATCTCACTTTCATCCTTGACACCACCCAACGACAATCTCTGGAAGTTTCTCCCCAACGAAGTGGCAATTGACTTGGCAATCGAAGTTTTACCAATACCTGGCGGTCCGGCAAGTGCAATGATTGGTGATTTATTACTCTTGGTAACCCTAATGGCTTCAAGAGTACCTTCTTCAAACTGAGAGTCTTCCATTGACTTGTCAACTTGATCTTGAGCTTTTTGCTTTGCACGATAAGTTTCATCTCCATTGGCAATGAAAATACCATTTTGCTCAGCCTTGTTGACATCTTTTTGCTTGTCGATTGCTTTATTTTCAGAAGTCTTGCTCTTGTTTTCACCAATAGTCTTTGCAGCATTGATACCCAATAATTTCAAAACCACCAAGTATTGAATAAGTCTTCTCTTTACATGCTCCAAGCCGTAATGATCCTTGTCCAATTGAGCTTTGGCTGCTTTCAAATCAATCTCCTTATTGGTTTTGAATTTACTAACATATTTGTCCCATGGAATATCCATCACAATCTCCAAATAATTTCTAATGACATGGAAATCTGCATTTCCACCACCTCCTGGTGAATTTGTTGCTGACTTGATTCTCTTGAAATCCTTAATAATTAATCTTTTGGAATCAGGTGTCAATGAGGTAATGGTTGGTAACTTGTTCTTGATAAACTCAGCAATAGCTCGCAATTCATCTTCCTCGTCAGCTTCATCGCCTTCTTCAAAGTCTCCAGTGCCCTCATTTGGCCCGTTAGCACGCGATGATGACCTCGAATTTGCTGCTGCGTTTGAAGATCTTGATTGCTGATTCGATTGTGTTTGCTTTTGAATAGTTCGATTTCTTTTACTCATTCCTTCCAACAACACTCTAATCGACTTGAGTTGATTGGATACAACATTTGCTCTTTGTACATTTGATGCCTCATTATGGAACCAGTTGTTGGCAAATGCATTATTTTGTTTCAATGCTTCAAATACGCCATTTAATAACAACATCATTTCATTGATTGCATCCGATCTGTCATCAATTTTGTATTTGTTTAGCATCCGCAATTTTTCATAATTGGGGAATGGTAAGATTGCAGTTGTCAAGTCAATCAATCTCAAATAAGTCTTTGCATCAACCTTTGCATCCTCAGCCGAAGATGAGGTGGTACGAATCTGTGAATACAATCGTTGTAAGCTCAAAAACGCTTTGCTAAAATCCTTTGAACCTGCCAATTGCATGTACAACGCGTTAGCCAATGGGTTTAATGTCAACAAATCTTGCTTTACTGGATCGTGTTCACCTTGCTTCTTTTCGTCATTTAAAGTGTCCTTTGTAAGCGAAAGATTGCTGCTCCCCATGGCTGCATTATTTTTCAACGCTTCACGATACATGATGAGAAACTTTTCAATAGAATTGAATAGTTTCTTGTAGTTTGATCTTAATGTTTTGAACCTATTTCTCAAATCCGGTATTTCTGCGTTCCAGTCAACAACTACTTTCGCCTCATTTGAACGTGTAGTGTGGCGAGAGTCAGAAGGAGCCTTCACTCCACGTGTAAGGGCCTGCAAAGTCAACTTGATGTTGGTTGAGTCATCAACAATACCAACAACGCGAACCACCGTAACAACATTGGTGAAATCGTCCGCGTCCTTGTTTCCCGATTGCAAAATCTTGTCCAAGTTTGGAGATATAGCAAAAGTCAACCAATCAAAGTCATTAACAGGCCCTGACAAGGAGAGAGCATCACCTTCCTCCTTACCTTCATTGGTTATTGTTTCTAGCTTGTAAAACTGGGATATACCATCGACTGCCTCTTGAGAAATCACACTTGGGTTAGTGGAGTTATCCCCACTAGCATCTGCCAGTGGTCTAGATGCGTTGTTGTTGTTGTTGTTGTTGTTGTTGTTGTGGTTGTTGCTACTGTCAGCATCAAAGTTGTATTCTGCCAACAAGTTGTTGATTATGGACACTCTAGAAACCACATTTTTGAATCTGTACAATAATGCAGCTGCTTTGAAACGTGAAAATGTGACGTTGTAGATAATACCAGGTAATAAAACCAAGTTTGAGTCTAGTTGGTAAGTTGGTAAGACAATCAGTTGAGATAAGCCTTTCGATTTTGCTGATTTGGAGTACCTGGCCATATTTGCAGTGAGTTTAATAAATAATTAGATAGAACGGTTATAAAAGTTTGGGCTTGCGATAAGTGATGATGCAGTTGTTGTTGTTGTTGTTGTTGGTGGTAGTACTTCGTAAGAGTAGTTTATAGTCTATAGTCTGGTTGGTTGGTTGGTTGCAAAGAAAAGAGATGAAATTGAAAGTTGAATGGAAATGTAATTTTCTCTGTCGAGTGATCACAAGTGTAGCTGCTGCTTTTTTGGTAAGTGCGGATATATATACATACAATTATACTTGGTAGTTAAATAACGCGGGGTTACATAGTGGAGATAATCTTTTCTTTTTGCCACCCATCATTCAATCAATCAATCAATCAATCATTCAATCAATCAATGATATATTAGTGAAGGAAATATGAGGAATATGATTTTACACAAGTACTTAAGATTCCATACTATACATATAACTTCTCTACCCTTATTCATGAGCTAGTAATGCTTGGTTTTCTTTTTTTTTCAAGAATGTAGCGACGTATATTACCATTTTGAGTAGAGATATAGACTGAAAACGCAGAGTCAGAGGAATCCAATCGGGTAGCGTCACATCCTCGGCAAATTTAGAAACTTGCATATGCCAAACAATCACCGCTCTGATTCAAAGGTAGGAGTGACCACATATGTATCGGCACAGCTTATTTTACAGCTGAACCACAATTCTGATACAAAAAGACTTGGACCAAGCACATTTTTGATATCACAGTTAAACTAGTCACAAGACATAGATTTGGGAGTTACATCACTCGATTTTTTTGAATCAACTACTATATACAAGTAAACACCCATTCTAATTGCAGCAACAACAAGCACTCCAACCGCTTCTTCTTCGTACTCCTATTCTCCTCCTACTCCTTGTCATCATACTTTCCTTCAAGCAAATCATTCAATCCATCCTGCAACGTCTTTGTCTCTTCATCAACCTCCATTTCACTTAAAGCCTTCTCCTTCTCATATCCTCCCATCAACCCTTTCATCCTGTATCCAAACTCCTTGAAATTGCTTACATCCAATATCCATGCAGTTCCCATCACAATCATCCCCGTGATTGACCCACAAGCTAATGTGCCTGCACCAACAGCTACTGCCGCATCGGTAGTGAAGTTGTAAGATGTGGGAGGTTGGTGGTTTTGTTGAAACAATGTGGGAATATACTGCCTTATAATTGTTTGTTTGTTTATCAACCGTAATGTGAATATAGATAAGGCTGAAAAAGTGAAAAATCGAATCATTTGATACTTTCGTCTGGTTTTATATTCCGGTGATGCATTTGCTACTTTGAAGTTGAGCTTGTGAAGTACATCTGCCATTTTTCTGTGCTCTATTGCTGTCAAATTCAGGATCTATTGTGTGTGTTTTCACAGCTCCAGTATATATATCCATCCCATCTTCAAATTGTTTGAATTTTTTTTTTCTAACGAAACCCTCGACTACGACAACAGCGTATCACAACTTATACACTTTCAACCCCTCCCCCCTAAATACAACCCAATGCAATCCGATTCATCAACGCTATGAACCAGCTCCACTTCTGGTGCTTATAAGATATATTCATATGTTGGCACCTGAAACATAGAATAAAGGCTGAGAGATGACCCAAGGGAAACTTTCGTGGTGGTGGTGGTGGTGGTAGTGGTGATGGTGGTAGTGGTGATGGTGGTGGTGGTGGTGGTGGTAGTGGTTGTGGTGATCAAGGGTCGCGCAGTCGACTTGTACTAGCTTTGAAGCTTACAACGGCTGAAGAGCGCATCGATGGATGAAGGCAAGATTTGATTATAGAACTCCTTACATTCGAATACGTACCAATGGTTTTGTTACGTGCTGTTTCCTGAACAGTGCTCAACAAACTTGATCTACATCACCACATTTACAAGGATGTTACACACGATCGTGACTGATAGGAGGGGTTTCAGCGAGGACTCCATGTCCAAGAGAAATGAAATCGAAGCAGTCATTGTAGCTGATCATCATTATCGGTTCACATACGGGAGTGCAATACTATACGATGGAAGCTATGCAAAGCACACCAAAGATACGTTAATCTGTTCACACAAAACACTTGTCACACATTTACACAGTGCACCCATGACAGTGACTGATCTAGCATCCACCTTAGAAGCTTTAAAGTCCTGTGTGAGACAAAAGTGCATTGGAATTGTGATGTAAAATTTTACTTTTTCTGTTTTTTGATATTTTTGAACAACACTCTAAAAATGGCAGCCAAAATGTTGCAACCAAGCAAAAGCACCTGAACTTCTTTCTTTTCTTCAATCACACAGATACAAATCCAAAGCATTCCACCATCTAACGAACATGATGTTTTATCCAGCTCCAGTCGTCAACAAGGCGCCCGTTGTCCCAAGGAGCGAACCACAATCCAATTGCTTTTCAAAGGATAGAGCTTTTTACAAAGAACCTGTATTCTATCCTGAACTCTTTGAATTGTTACAAGAGCTTAAACATCAAGCCGAGGAGTTAATAGCCTATATCGAGTATTTCAACAACAAATTCAAAAACGGACACAACAAAGGCAACAACAAAGACAACAACGAGATACACTGGTTCGGCAATAACGACTTCAACAGCAAAAACTTCCATGACATTGTCTACAGCAATTGGCACTTGAACGAAGAGTACATGAACAATGAGGAGAAAACCATTTGGAACGTATACAACTATTGTACTTTTAATCAAGAGTGTCCAGTGGGGGAGGGGGGGGGAAACAAACCAGGAGACGAAGCTCCAAAGATTACGAAAAGACGAATTTTCCTGGGATTTCTCTCCATTTACAGAGGCGTGGATGCACCGCTATTTCATGAACCAAGACCACCAATGCCCCATTTTGTATCAATTGTGAGAGATGCAGAGAAATTGGCGCGTGTTAAAATTGAAGCAGGAAGAATTGTGCCAAATTTGCATCCAACAGGCAACAGTCTGAATGATGAAGGGGGAATCGGCACCTGTCAATGAGTCAAGAAGTGTTGCGCTGAAGGTTTATTCAGTACATTGTCATGTATGTGACGTCCAAGTAGGGGAATTTCCATTTTTGGAACCAAGAATAGGTGCACTGAAGTTTCATTCAATCAATCACAATCTGCGCGACGTTGAAGCAGCGCAGCGTCCATCTTTTGAACCAAAAAGAGCTGCACAGAAAGTTTACTCAGTATACCACAATGTGGAACCAGCCAGTGTTTCGGAATCAGCAGCTTCTTCTTTTTCTTCTGGAAATAGTGGCTTTTGTGGCGGAAGCCACAAAGACAATCAAGCGCCAAAAGACGAACCCCATCAAGAAACCACAAACGCAGCAGAGGCAAGTGAGGCTGTGACCAAGGTTTCTAAACCAAAGAAGAGACGCAGACGAGGTGGTAGAGGACGTGGCAAAAAGGAAAAACGGTAATCAGGCGCCAGAAGTTGAGCGCCATCATGGAGCACCACCTGCAGAGGTTGAAGAAGATGTCGAGGTCAATCATATGAAGGAAGAACCACCCAAAGTCTTGAGGAATCAAGGGTGGTATAATTGGTTGTTTCAGATAACTGAGAAAACGACCAAGGATAAGACCTGGTCAACCACAAAGACAAACGAAAACAGTGTTGGGTTCAAAAAGGTATTGGGGGTTGGGGGGAAACCACCGAAAGAAGTCGCCTTTATCTGTCGGGTACATAGCAGAATTACCATCAACTTGCAATGAAGAAGAAGAAGAAGAAGAAGAAGAAGAAGAAGAAGATGGTGATGTCGTTGACCAAGTAGAGAAAGCAAGGAGACAGGTTACGAATGAACGTGTTCACGACTTATCGTTTGTGGATTATCCAGATTGAAACCCGATGGTGAGATAAGAATGAATCTGTGGTGGAGAGTGGCGTAAGCAAAGGCAAGTTGAAAATAATTGTTGTTGTTGTTGTTGTTGCGCGAAAGTTTTACAAGTCTCGAGACCATCTCGCGGGAACAATACACGTACAGTCTTTTGTCACAAGCACTATCCAGGGGATGTCATATAAGGACCCCGTTCCGCAATGGTTTTTGAGCTTGATGGCGAGAAGACAACACAATATGGAAAAGAAACTTGCCAAGTCCACTCAATGCTAAAGTCGATTGCCATTGTCGGGAAAGTTTTTGTTGTTCAATCATGGATACATTTTGATGCCTGTTTCATGAAGCTGGCGAGTTCTAAAGCTGTGTGAAGGGCACTGGTGTGGCCAACCGGTGCCTGGAGCTAGTGAAGGGGTGAACACAGTGGATTGCAAAACTGAAGAGATTGTATTGAGAGCGATAAGTCAATGAAGTGGTCAGTGAAGTGGTCAGAGAAGGTGCAGTGAAGAGAGTTTACGTCTTTTGTCAGTCTTGTTGAGACGAGTTGGTTTTGCTACAGCATTTGTTTATATTGTTTTTACATTTTTCCATGATTTGACATCATTTGTTCCAACCTTCCTGCTGTTCTGGGACGCTCTACTCCTCTTTATTTCTCTGGCTTGATCTCTTTTGCGATTTTCTTTTCCTCTTGACTTATCTGTCTACTACAAGATCTGTTACTTTGAAATTGAGTTTATAATGTGCGTCTGTCACTTTTACTGTCATATTTGCTGATAAAGCCAGGGTATATTGTACTTATGTAGTGACTACTACTGCGCTGAAATCATACACACCCATCCCTCAATCATCCCATTTCCCTACATCCCTTTTGTCAGTAAAGCTCTACAGGTAATTCTCTGCAAAAGATTCAACATTCAAAATGCATCTAGTAGCTCTATACGCACCACGATTCACGCCTTTTGCAACTCACGAACATTTAAGCAAACTTTCATCCATGGACACATTTCCCGACACCACTCTTTCACGACTCCAGTGTTAATTCCAGAACCAAAACTACTCACAACATCAAAGTCCAAAGCTGTTAGTTCCTGCTTACTTTGTAGGATCTCAACCAATCGATGCCAATAAAAGGCACAATTGACTCGCCATCCCCTCAATACCAACCGACGCAAGTTCGGTAGACCTTTACCGCTCAATATTCTTTTGAGAAATGTTTCGTCGACATTCAAATGGTGAGTCTCGGCTTTCACATCATTGTGGATAAGCTCAAGCGAGGCAATACTTTCAAGGCCACCACTCTCTCCAAGGTTAAGGATAAAGTCACGGAACCGCTCTGAATGTTCAAATGTGGACCCATTTTTGAATTGCAAACTCAAGTGCTCTAACGTGTTGTTGTAGTTGAAGTGTTTCAATTCAAATGGATAGTTCCATTGGCAGTCTACTAAAGTCAATGAGGTCAATGTCAATACCGGAATTCGAATGGATCCAGGATCCCATGATATGTGATACCCTTCAAGTTCCAAGTGTTGAAGCATTTTGAAATTTTCCAAATGCTCAACGTTGAACATTTGTAGTGGATGATACGTGTTCAATTTGCGCGTCACGTTGTCTTTATTGTGTGGCTGGAGTCGGGACTGTGTGTCGTTGACATTTGCTTCTGAATAGAGAGTGAGTTTGGTAATTGTCTGATTGGCTCGGTATCGTAGCCAGCCCGATGAACTCACCGTGTTTATCAAAAGATGCTGTAGCTTGGGTAATTGGTAAAGTACATCTTGGAAAATGTCAATCTGCCAATCCCCGTATGGAAACGAGTCGATTATGCGTAGTTGATGTATCACGTATTTGTATTTTTTTAGGACTGAAGTGGTGCCTTCACTTTCATCAATCAACTTGTACCATTGAGCCTTCACCCGAGAGAGCAAATGCGGCACTAATAACTCCCGGTACTCTCTGTTTAAAACTGACAAGTTTTGTAGATCTTGTATGGTCAAGTGGGTGAAAATGATGTGTATCACATCATTTGGTAGTGTTGATAGGGCCAAAGCTCGCTTCGGAAGACTTTGACCTCGTCTGCCCGAGTGTTTGATTCCCTTCATGTCTGTTTCTCTGCGAGTAAGTGGATGCTACTGCCAAATAGCTTTGTGTTCTGGGATGTTGTTCTTTGACTGCATTGGATTACAGCAAGGCAAAGGATCGTTATCGCCCTCTTGATTAATGCGGAACAAAAAATCTCTCACACATACACTTATTGCGGAGTAGTACCGAGGTCACCGAAACACGTTTCATTACAACACATGTATCTATGGCAGTGGACTGGCTATTGTTGTTTCGCCTTGTTTTCAGGAATGTCAAAGATGACATCGTTGCCAACTTTGTCGTACGCTTGCCACTACTACTAGTAATAGACCCCGATTCGTTTGAACCACCATTCACAAATGGGTTGAATGAATTTTTTGAAATGGTAAATGTAACGGCTATTGCAAAATCAGGGCTAGCGGTGACTTCAGTGAGCAGGGATGATTTATATTACACAATGATGGAATATGGGGTCCTTTTACTATCCATTGTGTTTGCAGGGTTTGACATTTTGTACAGCATGCTACGACTATGCATGAGTGCAGTTGTTATTGGATGTTTGGTTTCTGTGTTGGGCTTCTGTACGATCTGGTTGATTGTGACTATATCCAGAAGATGGAAGTTGCTTTCAATGGTTATTAGAAATAACGAGTTTGAGGGTGTGTGGTAGTGGTGGTTTCTTGATTAGGCGTATAGGGAGTAAATGCACACGCGTTGGTTCTTGTTCTCTTTTAGAGTACTGGATTTAGGCTACCAAAGTCCTTAGTCCTCAGCAGTGTCTACTACAAGAGTCTCAAAACAATTACAAAGTTCAATCAATTATACGAAAATTAACGACTATGAAGAAGCTAACAAAACTTCACAAAAGATTAGAATACAAAACAACAGTAAAAGCAAGCAACATTCTTTTCTCAATTTGAGATCTTGGTGGAAGTAACGACTTCAAAGTGTTTATCAGCTCATTTCAAAAATTACAGTCCTGTCCCTTACAAAACATCCTCTTTGAACACACCACGTTCATTCTGCTTTTTGTTCAACGAAAGGTCGTCATCCACATCTACGTAGTCACCGTAGTCACCGTCTTCGGAATCCTTAGTGTCAGCAGCAGCGGCACGCTTATTGGCTTTTGGATCCAAGGATTTGGCTTCTTTTTCTGCATCCTTACCTGCAGGTTGTTTAGTCGATGGTGTGGTAGTGGCAGTAGTGGCAGTCTTGGCGTCTTTGGCTTCATTTTTGGTTGCTTTTGTGGATGTAGCAGGGGTCGACTTAGCTGGTGTAGATTTAGCGGGTGTTGACTTAGTAGTGGTTGACTTGGCTGGAGCAGGTGCTTTTGACTGATCCTTGAAGAAATTACTCAATCTCCTTCCGAATGAAGCCTTCTCCTTCTTAGATGGACTTGGGGGAGTTGTAGTCGTAGATGGCTTTTTGGCTCCTGCTGCTGCTGCTGCTGTCGAAGAGCTTGACGCACCAGCTTTGCTAGCGGTGGCGGTTGAAGCCTCTTTCTTTTCAACAGTCTTTGGATCCACAGAAGAAGCTGCGGCCTTCTCAGCAGCTTTTGTAGCATCATTCTTTGGCTTCTCTATTTCTGCAGAAGTGTCGTGCTTGTCAGCAACTGCAATCAATGGAATTGGCTTAATGTCGCCGACGTCAACTTTGTCAGCGGTTGGTCTGGAAGCTTCTGATTCGCCTGACGTCAATGGTTTAGACTCCTTGGATTCTGTGGCAACAGCTTTTGCTTTAGGCTTTTCATCTTCAGCAAATAAGGAACCGGTATCTCTGAGCTTTTCTTCATTGATGTCGCGCTTCAAGTGTGGAGGTAATTCATCATTAACCCTATTTTCAAACTTGACTTTTTCATCAATAGCTCCCAAAATCTCCTTCTTTTTGTTGGCTTTCTCTTCAGTCTTGGCATCCTTCTCCTTTTGCAAATCAGCGATTTCACCATCTAACCTTGAAGTTTCATTAGCGTGTTCATCCTTAGCCTGGGCTTCCTTCGTCTTGAGATCTGCCAATTCCTTATCAGTAGTTTCATGTTTCTCACTAGCTTGGCGTAATTCTTCAACCAACTTATCAATTGCAAGCTGAGTTTCTTCAAGTTCGTCATTCAATTCTTCAACTTGTTTTTCACGGTCATTCTTTTCTTGTTCGATTCCATCTACTTCTTCAGTCAATGCGTCTCTTTCATCGGTGATCTCCTTCAACTTGGCATTTTCTTGTTCCAATTCATCCAAAACGGGTTGAGCTATTTCATCCTTTTCTGCCTGCAATTCATCCAACTCCTTCAGTCTCTCTTCATTCTTGGCTGCTTCTTCAGCATCAATTTCATCTTGCTTTTCCTTCTTTTCTGCAAGAAGCTGTTCCTTTTCTTCAGCATGCTTCTTTTCCAATTCTTCATATTCCAATTGCTTAGCAGCAACCTCTTCATTTCTAGCCTTTTCGTGCTCTACCAACTTTTGGTCCTCAGCCTTCTTTGATTTTTCATTAGCCGTAACTCTCTCCTGTTTAGCTTTTTCGATATCTTGCTTTTCTTTGGCTTTGGCTGCTTGTTGCTCTTGTTTAGCCCTTTCATGAGCTGCTTTCAATTCTGCTTTTCTTTGTTTCTTTGATAACTCAATTTCTCTCTTTGAGTCTGCCTTTTGTTCAATGTCGTCAATGACTGGTTGAACATAAGTGGCGGCCAATTGATTCAACTCAGCTTGAGTGATAGTTAAACCACCACCCAAGTTGATAACTCCAGCAACTCTATTCTTGGATCTCTCGTCACTGTTTTTCTGAGCAACGGCCAAGGCGTTGGCATACAATTGAGCTTGAGCCTTCAATGTTTGTGGAGTGTTTGCATTCAAGGTGCTCAAACGGTCATTGGCTTTAGCAGCAGCAGCAGCTAACAAAGTGGAATTGACAACGTCTTGTGCCTTAAAAGTGTTGGATCTGGTTTGGTTAGCATAGTCAGGAACAGTAGGAGTCTTGTACAAGGAAGCGTTGGCACCTGAAGCAGCCAAATCCTCTTCTTCTTGGTTCAAGAATTCAGTTGGCTTGTCCTTCTTCAAACCTGATCTGTAATCCAATTCTGGATTAAATCTGGAATTCAAAGTGCTGCTAGACTTCTTTGTAGCAACTTGGTTGATTTTGCTAATGTTCAACGATTGTGCCCCATATTTGGATTGAATACCTGACCTAGAAACATCTCTGATGGGGTCAATTCTCGAAGTCATTGTGCTACTGGACTTTTCTTGAGCAACTTTATAGATGGAACCTTTGTCCAAAGCAGATGGAATTCCAACCCTAACAATAGTATTTGGTTGTTGAGTAGATTGACTAGTCAAAGAGTCGGCTTTTGAATGACTTGACAAAGCAGCCTCAGCAGCATCAGAGTCTTCCTTGTGTCTCTTCCAAATGTTTACATCGTGTGGCTTAGCAGCCAAAGCAGCTGTATGTGCTTCAGCGGCAACAGTACGTTCATACGATGGCTTGACAGTCAAGTCAGATGAGGCTGCCAACAAGGCCGCGGTATCTGATGCATTGCTGTTGACACCAACAATGGTTCCACTGGGAGATTGGAAAACACCCTGCTTCAATCTTTGGTGATATAATGCCTCCTTTGACAATGGTTTACCTGAGGTTTGGTAAACTGAATGAGACATAATCTATTGTTGCTATTGTTCGTTCTGTTGTTTTGTTTTCTTGCTAGATATAAAGTTGAAATGGCAATTGAATTGCAAGCGGGATCTTAGTCACTGTGTACTGTGCAGTATGTAGTGAGATGGGTCTATGAAAACGAAAGAACTAGATTGGTAAGGTGGCTACTTTTGGTTCTAGATAAAAGAAAAAAGCAGTCATACAAACCTGAGAAAATATATATTTCTTGTGTCGAGAAAATAAATTTAGAAAAGCAGCAGCAGCATCAGTAGCAGCAGTAGCACAGAAAGTTAAAAGAGGGTGTCATTCGCACCAAAAGAGAAAAAGTAAAATAGAAAAGTAAAATTAGATTGAGTGAGTGGGCTCTTCAATACAATTTTACTCCTTACACAAATAACCTACCAATTGTGATTGACTCTAATTGCAACTACCAAACCATATCTAAGCAAATTAGCAAATCAAACATATCTTGCATACACAAAACGTACTGAATCGTCTGGATGTTGCGAAATGAACGAAGGTAAAATACGACGGTTTCCCCTTTGCGACTACCGTACTCTAAGTTCATTACTCTATACAACTTCACCATATACCGTTACTGTTCTACAAAATGCACTGGCTGGAGGTATAATTATGCATTGCATGACTTCTCCTTGTCCAATCTCTTTCTTTTTTTTTTTTTTCAAGTTTCACTTGTAGCAACAAACTATATCCATTTCATCAAACGCAAAATACCAAAAACAGATATGTCAACAACGACACAAAACTGAGAGAACTCAAATGAAGTAGATTGAGAACTCACCTGCAGAGTACGTCAAGTGCAACTGAAGTACAGACTTCCCCTTCTGAGTTAGATGTAATAGGGAACTTTCTTGAGCTAGTTAATTCGATTTGCTCGTTGCGGTAAGAGCCATTATTACATGTTAAGAAGCAGGTGTGTAAAAATTTAAATCAAAGCTGAAAACCTTGGATTAGTTTTCTTACACAGTAGCTCGAAAACAAGCAACATTTCAGCAGCAGTAACCAGAAGCATAGTGAGAGATGATGTTCGCCTAACTTCCATACTGATGTTGCTAGCAGATGAGGACCATACGCCAAAGCTTCCTTTGATATAAGGCGTTACCTCTCTTTACGTCATTAGCAATCAAAATACACAGTTTTAATTGAGCTTGTGTAATATAGAACAAATAGAAGATTATAGTACTGCATATAAGTCACATGACTTTTGCTGTTTGTTTTCTTTCCTAATTAGGCTAATATCTATACTAATTAGGTAGTTTGAGATATTACATAATATATTACATAATCAACAGCCACACCCTTTTTCTCTGTCGTCTATTTTTATACAGAGCTGTGTCGTGTCGTGTCGTGAAATATTTACTTTGAGTCTGTCTAAGAAACTGTGAAGGCTTTCGATAAGCAATGGTTATGCAAGTCAACTATAGTCTCGTAGTCACTATATCCAGAAGTTGGCACATGTATAGCTAGATCCTTAACGTCATAGTTTGTGAGGAGTTTTCTGCCCATGTCCTCTATGAAACTAGTGGATCTCGAGCTTTTGAACGGGCTAGATAGAGAAGGTATACTTGATCAATATCTTATTAAAAAACATGTTAACTCATTGTAAATGTAAATGCTTAAAGTGAGTGTCCCTTTCAAGTTTCGATTAATTTTGTTGCAAAAAGTAAGAGAGAGGATGGCTGGTTATAAAATGAAAAATGTTCATAATTTCGCGCTTGTCCCAGGAGAAAGAAAAGAAAATGTAAATTTAACTCAATTGGGAATATTGAGTTTATTACGCATTTCTTTTCTTTTTTTGTCTTTTCTGAACCAGCTCTGAAATCATATCTAGATCTCACTCTTTTCCTTCTATACAACCAAGGGCTCACAAAGTGATTGACTATTTACGCACGTACTGCCTCCCGCTTCTCACTTGATTCTCCTCATCTGCTACTCGCACAACCCACCATTCTTCCCATACATGCAAACACAATTTGACAAACTATTATGGCTGATCAACCAATAAATGCCACAAACCCAAGCACTACCGATGCCGGTAACGCCACAGGAGGGGCAATGAGTCCACAAGAACGACAGCTTCATGAATTGAGAAGACAGAGACAAGAACTAAGACGTCAGCAGCAACTACGAGCCCAGCAAAGAGCACAACAACAGGGTTCGGCCTTATCTGCAGCTACCGGAGGCTCACCTGCCCAGTCACCATTTGCTGCTCGGAGGGCTCAAGCAGAGGGAGGTGCAGCTGGAACTATGAGGTCGCCATTCCAATCTCCTTTTGCCAGAACAAGAGATCAGCAGCAACAGGGAGCAGCTCCTCAGCCGGAAAATATACCCCGAGTGCCCAGACGAGAACCATTGGCGCAACCACAACAACCTCCACGAGCAAGTAATGCTGCTGCTGCTACTTCCAGGCAGTCACCAAGGCCAGGTTCCGATATTACAGAGTCGTTGGCATCGGTTCGGAGGATTAGCCGCTTTGAAGAACGTCCAGGGGATATTGCCAGATCAACTACAACAACCGCACGGCAGACACTAAGAACAGAACAATCGCCACCATTTGCAGCAGCAGCTACAGGTTCTGGCGGAGTAGGAAGAGGAGGAGGAGGAGGAGGTACCAACTTGCCTCCACCGTCGCCTCCACAGCCACGCTTCCCTTCCCCACCCATTGCTGGATCCAGTGCTCGTCTACCTCCATCAAGGCCACAAGTTGCATCCACAACGACAGCTGCTGGGTCTCCTGCAGGCGAGACAAGAAGAGTGACTGGAACCACGGGCCGCAAAACATTACCCGGGACATCTACATCATCAACGAGAAGAGCACAAGCTGCGACAGCTGCATCATCCAATTTACGACAACGGCCCCGTCAACCAACTGGAGCAGGTTCACAACTGCAGCTGCAATCACAATCACAATCGCGTGCGAGAACAGCAGCACGAGTTAAGAAGAGATATAGACCCGGTACATTGGCACTTCGAGAGATTCGTCATTTCCAAAAATCAACCGATTTATTAATTCGAAAATTACCTTTTGCAAGATTGATCAAGGAGATTTCCCTTGATTTCGTTGGTCCCGAATATGGATTGAGATGGCAACTGAATGCAATATTGGCACTACAAGAAGCTCTGGAGACCTATTTGGTTCATCTTTTGGAAGATACTAATCTATGTGCCATTCACGCGAAAAGGGTGACCATTATGCAAAAGGATATGCAATTGGCAAGAAGATTGAGAGGTAGGTATACAATTTAGAAAGAAACCAAAGAGAACGATTTTTGGTGGACATTTGAGGGACCACTACTTTCTCAAACTCACATGGCACAGTTACGTTTGATGGTTTTCACTTTTGATATGTTTTAATTTTGCATTGTTTGGATAGAGATAGATGAAAAGTTTGTATGTGTTAATTTGTATTATTTGTATAATTAATTTGAACGGTGTAGAAGGAACCAGTTCATGCGGAAAATGCCTTTACATGAATCGTGTTTGGGGACATCATGTGTTCATGTGAGCACCCGTAGTGAGACTTGTATTTCAAATATAATCATTCATAGTCCTGCTAGAAGTTGTTCAGCAGATTTTAGATCAATGATTTATTAAAGAAGCCCCAACAACCACAAACTAAGGACCAGCGAATTACCTGATTCAGGCACCTATCCCGATTCGAGTCGCGTTCACATTACCATGTATTGTATCTTTTTATAGTCCTATTGTTTTCCCAATTTGAATCAGCTAAGTCACACTACTCATTCAAGTATTCCCAGCTGACAAGAACAATAAGAAGTTGATCTCAAAACCAAACCCCTTGGAGGTAGTGCTTACACAATCGCACTGCACCTTTATCACAAGCCAATCCTGCCAATCATTTTAGAGATGTTTGTTATTGCATTTTGTGTAAAAAGTATGAAGAAGATGACGATGGTGATGACGATGAACGAGACCGATAGAATTTGTACACAAAACGGATGTTTCTCGTAAAGATCAGGAGTGATCTATACATATTTTTCACTTCAATATAAATACTCGATAACATTTCCACTGACTACGTTGTCCTCAGTCGGCACATGATAACAAAGTCTTTTCAAATGGCTACTTCCACCACGATTACAAAGAAAAAGAAGCTTGTTTACAAACAGGACTCGGATGGAGTGTTTAGATTGAAAAAAGTAGATGATGGTAGCCGTAGTGACAATTCGTCAATTGATACCATTGACTACCTTAGGAGAAAAGATAAGGTGGACAAGTACCTCAATGAGCTTATGGACTGCTCATATACCATTGACGGTGAGCCTGCCACGCCACATGGTGCACAATCTACAGTCACAAGACCAAGAGCGAAAACAACGCCTCATCAGATCAATACCAATTCCCAATTGGGTAATTGTAAACAAACCGAAAAAATACTGGACAAGCCGCACATTGACAAAGCAAGGGCTTATTCACTGCCTATAACTACCACCACCACTACTGCAACCTCCTCGCACTTCTCGTTACCAAGCACAAGACACAGTATGGAAAGTTATACTAGTCAACAGCTATCACAAGATACAAATTGGATGGCCCATTTAAGCGACAACCAATACGAATTTAAGTCATTTCATATACCTAGTTTTGCATTGGGAGTGATCCTAACTGTCATTGCTGCTGTGTTTAAAGAGCAATTGACTCGATTCACACTAGGGTTGGCAGTATTTGGAATCGTTTTAGTGCTTCTTGCCATTTGCGCAGTTGCAGCTGCAGTCTATTCTGGGTTGATCAAACAAGAGGACATAAACGTGCTCAATCTATTTAGTAAGAATTTACAGGATTCTCCTCAACCACCGGATGTCACTAATGAGTACAGGAAGAGAGATGATATAAGTGATATCATTCAACACTACACGGAGCGCAATGGTCGCCGCAAGTCTCGAGATTCATTGACACCAAGTCTTGGCGGTGATACCAGACAAAGCTCGCCATCAGCAAAAGGTCGCAGATCAGTCATTAATGTTAGGCCATATATCCTGGACAGAACAGCTGTAAACTCGTCGAGCTCCTTACTCAACAATAATAACAACAACAACAACAACAACAACAGCAGCAGCAGCAACCACAACAAGACACAACGTCAAATAAAGCCCAATTACACTTTGGAGAACAGTAGCAGTCCTCAGCTTAATAACGATTCACATGACCCTTTGCACAACTTACCAGCACTAAGTCGAGTCAACACAGATCCAACACAATTTACGAGAAACAAACGCAAACTGTCTTTTCCACCTTATCCTGTAGATACAGTGAGAAGACCACGGCTTGATTCAGCTCAGACGCTAACCTCAGTGAAAAATTTGCCATCTTTACCCTCGGACGAGCTTCCATTTATTAACGAGGTGAAATTGATTGACACCTTTGAGCAGCAAGCGCGGTATGATCTGCAGTATGCCGATTCTATAGCCCTGTCATCCACAAATGACAGAAGAGCTGGAAGAGACAGTTCTCTCACCAGACAGAGGTCCATTTTAGGGACGACTGCAAATTACGAAAAGTTTATAGCTAATGTAGGCCATTGAATATAGAAGTTCTACAAAGGTGAATGGTAGCACAAGGGAAGAAACGTAAAAAAAAAAAAAAAAAAAAAAAAAAAAAAAAAAAAAAAACAAAAAAACAAAAAAAAAAAAAGAGAAATGAAAGTTTAACGCCACACAAAATGCAGAAGTTCTATATATGGTTGTGCTGAGTTTTGTAAAGCAATTAAACAGCCCTCTTCCTCCCCC